GTATCTTTGATATTGCCCAACCCTGGTTATAACCAATTGAGTGTTTAACGCTATAAATAATTTAAACGTTATGAAAAATTTAGCGTTTTGCGTTATTTAAATTAGTGTAAAATTTGAAACGTTTTCAAATGTAGTAATACTATAAAATACATCATAATTTTTGTTTCTTAATAAAATACCCATTAGTTATATAAAAATTGTCTTGGTCTAAAAATTCTAGGGGGGAGGGCGACTGCCTCCATCGCCCCCCTCAAATACGCCACTGCCTATACTTCACCTACCTACCTACCTATCTTGGTATTTAATTTAAAATATATAAATCTAAATTGTTTATGATATTTTTATCAAAAAAAAAAAAAAAAAAATGACAAATTTGATCAAAGCCATGGAACATTTAACCGTTCCCATATTTTTACACCAATACAAAAATATAGTAAAACTAAATTTTTTTTCTTTATAAGTAGACATAAAAATAAAATTTGGTAACAATTGCTATTTATCAATATTAAGAGATTCTAACTATCAAAAATAAAATAACCAATTTAATTTAAAATATTTTTTAATTTAAATAAATATTTTAGAAAAAGTTATTGAAAATATTATAAATGCAAAGATAATTGGAGTAAAATTTATGGGATTTGAATTTGGAAACCAAATTTTTAATTCCATACCGTTTTTTAGTGTCAAAATTTGGAAATTATCCTTAAATAATTAATTCAATTCAAAGAATAAGTACTGAAATAATTGAATATTTATTTAAATGTGGATCAATGCAGCCATTCTCTCATGAAATTCCCGCAGAGTGTTTTCCCAAAAATTCTCAAGGTAGATAATTTCATTATAGTTGCTAGTGGAGAAAACCACTCAGTAGTTCGTCGAAAATGAATGTCCTATTCTAAGATTAATAACCGATTATACTGTGTTCATTGTGCATTATTTGGTAAAAAAAGGAAATGTGAATGGATATGCAATGAGATTTCAGATTGGAAAAATGGACCTGTCAAAATTTGTAAAAACGAAGTTACGGAAAGTCATACTTTTGCTTCGATTAAAGCAATATATAAAGAAGCAGCTTTTTTTCTTATTCAATCAATGAAATAAAATTAAATGAAAAACTAGTAATGAATAAAGATGTTATCAACAATTTAATAGACATTATATTTAGGTAGACATAGTTTACCATTTAGAGCAGGCCCTATTATTTGTACAATTTCGGACTGCACACTTGATTTTGCTGCTTTAAATGAAAAATTAGTCTTGCTACTGTCTTAGAAAAAGGAATATATTACATACATATATATATATGCATTAAATTTTAAAAAATTCAATAATACTCATATTTCCTATTAGTTGGCTTATTATTTAATTTTTATTTTGTAGACCGTAGTGTACACTTGTACATTCGTGGTACACATTGTGTGTCGGAGTGCACATAAAAATAGGGCCTGGTTTAGAGGCCATAGAGAAGGTTGGAAAGATAAAATCCGTGGAAACTTTAAAGATTTAACAATTTTATTAGCAAAATATTCATCGCCATTAGCATCGCATTTAATTGAAGTTCACTTAAAGGGAAAACACATATATCATTTTACCTCATGGCAACGGCAAATCCAATTAATTCAAGCTATTGCTACTCAAATACGTAATTCAATTAAAGATGAGTTATTAACACGTTCACTGCTGACCGAATTATGCATTAGCGCGCGCATAGCCGTAACCAAAAACCAGTCTCGGCTGATACTGTCAACTACGTGCTGACACCGGCGTTGCGCGCCCGATTCATGCTAATAATAAATAAGAATCCACAATTATATCTAAATAAATACTTTAATAAATATAACTGTTCATACATCACACTTTTAATTATGTTTTTCAATAATATTACGATACTATTGAGTTTATAAGTACTTTGGTTTTTTCTCAATTTGTACTACAACCAGCGGTTACACAAAAATGTAAAATGAAAATTCAACTTTTTTTTTGTATAGATTTATTTTTAATATTTAATAAAATGAAATAAAATAAAAAAATACTACTTATTGAATTAGACTGTAGTTTTTAACTCACAAATAAGTATAAATATATATAAAACAATTAACATAATTTTTAATTTATATACTTCTGTGAAATTCTTCGAAGCAGTCTAGACAAAATCCTGGCTCGTCTTCACACATTGAACAATAAAACGACGTCATTTTTCGTACTCCTTTTGAACTGCATAGTTTACATTTCTTATACATGATTTTGTTGTTTTTATTTTTAGATACTTTTTTTGAAAAATGTAATGCATTATTATTTGTTGGTTGTTTTTCAGTAATATTACTTTCCCCAGAATTTAATAAAGTCGAAATAATTTTTAACCGATAGTCGTAAAATGAATTTTTTTTTTACATTTTTATTATACAATAAGTACGAATTAAGTAGTACGAATTGTATAAAGTGTATTCCTAGTTTCTTATACCACCGCAACGTTTTCCTTTCGCAAGGATAATAGGAAAGCATTTGATCCTCTCTGTCAATGCCCGACATATATTCATTGTACTTTGTTATGGAAAGAGGTTTCGATTTAATTATTCCTCTTCTATTAGTTATACTTACCAAATCGTGTGAATGTTCTGAAGATATTGCGATCACATATCGTCTGTCTTTCCATTTTACCACACCAACTCCCTTTTCTGTATATTGATAAATTGTTTCACCTTTCTTCGATTTTTTATCATTTATAGCTTTAGGATTATTTTTTCTATTGGCTCGTAAAGTACCCGTACAGTATGTTTGTTTTTCTAATAAATAATGTGCTATCTTGACACTGTTATAATAGTTGTCCATATAGATTGAATGGCCTTTGTAATAATAACCTTCCATTAGTTTCTTTACAACGTATTCGGTATGATTTAACTCTTCTGATGTACCAATACCTTTTCCTGAATAAATTAGAACTCTATGAACCAATCCCCACGACTCAGTCATCATATACAACTTAATCCCGTATTTGTGTCTCTTATTTTTTATATACTGACGAAACATAAGTCTTCCTCTAAATAAAACCATAGATTCATCGATCGATACATTTTTAGATGGTTGGTAAAGTTCTTCCATTGTTTTATTGAAATAATTTGTCATTTTGTCGATTTTATGTAAGCGACTTGTAGGATTATCATTTTGTTCTGGAATTTTGCAAAAATGTAGGACTCTGAGCTATAGCATAAATCGGTTACGACTCATAGTACTTCGAAAAATATGAAAATTGAAAAGCTCATTGGTTTTCCAATAGTCTTCTAATCTATTTACGCGAATAGTACCCGTGTGAAATAAAAGAGCAATACATTTTTTCATTTCAACAACGTCTGTATTTTTCCAAGTTGAAGTACGAGAATTAGACCGATCGCTGTTCAAAAAGACTTCAACTGCATATGAATTTTCCTCTTCTACTAAAAACTCCCAAAATGTGTTTGTAACAAATAAATTATATTTAAATAGATATTTGAGCTAACTAATCCTTTAAGTATATTTTTACAAGGCGTATAAATTGATTTATTGGCTGCTACTGAATATATATAATGTGTATTTGAAAATATTCAAGTTTTCAGAGATGACAATCAGTTTAAAAAATTAATCGAAGATAAAAATCAGTTTGTATTATCTAGAAATGACGAATTATTAATAATTAAATAAATTAAATTACGAATTTCACGCCATTAGTAGCAAATAGAAGAACAAAAGCCGGGTGAAATTATGTCTAATGAATCTATCAGCTGTCCACTTACAAATTTTAAAATTAACACATACTTCACAATCATTGACATTGTGTGTAATAAAACGAAAGGAAGATTTAATGACCAGTCAACACCACTATATAAAGATTTATCACTTTTTCAAGTAAAGCAAATAATAGAAGTTAAAGAAAAATCAAATTTACCAAACGATACATTTAATGGTTTTGAAAAAATATATGGACAATTTGTAAAGGCTGAGGATTTGAGGCGTGAATACAATTTGTAAATTTATATTTAATGATTGCAAAATTAATAAAATTACCAGAGAAGTTACATAAGCCAATACCATGTGATGATGATACCAGTAATGACATCGAAAAAGAGAACTCAGAAAATCATATTGTCAACAACGTCTGGAACAATAAATATAGTATACATGGTATGTCAATAAAATGGGCTAAAAGAAGTGTTTGCAGCTATTTATACGGCGTTAAGCATTGGACTAACTTTACCAGTATCAAGTTCATCTTCAGAACGAGCCTTCTCAAAATTAAAATGAATTAATAGTACAATCGCAGAAGTACGATTGGATTCTCTGATGTTAATATCATGTGAAAATGATATTGACATTGACTCTGACTTATTTATTAATATTTTTACATCATACAGTACAGTACTAAAAAAATATTATGTTAATCAAATAAGTAGGTAACAGGATGCAGTAAGCAATGAACATATTATATTTATTAATTAATTATGATGTTATTTATGTAAATAGTTTCTATTAGTGCATGTAACTCTCAATGCATCCATAACTGTATGTCCACATAATATGATCTTAATAAAAATATAAAATATAAATCAGTTTTATTGTCAATATCCTTTTCTGATGATCGTTTATCATATAATTAATTTCTATGCTAATTAAAAATTAAAGTACTTATATATATATATATTAAAATATTAAATAATGCGAAAATTTAGTAAATAATACAATTTATTTGTGAAAATAATATTTTGAATTTAAAAAATCGGTATTGACCGGGGGGTGTGAAAGGCTCTGCACCCCATGGCTTAGGTTTCATACCGTATAAAGATAGGTGGGTATAAATTAATGAAATTTGCTACACCTAAAAAAAATTAGTTCGGCGCCACTGTGTTGTATAATGTAAAAATTTCAATTTTGACGGTGCATTATGTAAGCAATTGTGTGACAAAATTATTTATAAATGTATAATTAATTCTAATAAGCATCATGTATATTAATTTCTGTAAACAATCTAAGGTGACTAAAAATGTATTTGTTTAGTTATCTATAGCTATTTTATAGATTTAAAACTATTGATTTGATACTATGAAGCTATAGATTTATTTCAATACTTCTACTCAAGAATTTCTCGTAAACTATTCTAATAATATTACTCAATTAATTATTGGCTAATTAACTATCACTATTTGAATTCACAATTTGTACTTCGAACATTTAAAGAGTGATAAGTTGAGTTCTTCTACTGTAGTTATGTTAATTATAACCAAGCCTCGAAAGCATTTCAAGATCATGCAAATAAAATCGAAACTTGGAGAAAAAAAAAAAAAAATTAAAACAAATTAAAGTACAAATACTATAACAAATTAAAATTAAAATAAATACCGACAAATCTGAGCAAATTACTCTTATCTTAAAGAGATCTCCCCTAGAGTGTCCTCGATTAATAGTGGATATCATACTTATTCCTGTTCGAACAGAAATAAAATAATTATAGTTATAATACTAGGTAAAAATCCTTGAAGTCTAAAGAAAAAAACAGCAAACAATAGACTCCGTCTCCTCCGTCCTTTCCTCACTTCCAGAATACCATTTCAAAACAAACTACTTATATATGTCATTATACTAGTTTGGTCTTATGGGATCACAATCTGGGGTTCTTCCAAGCCCTTAAAACACCAGGCCAATTCAGGCTTTCCAATCAATTGCATTAAGACTATTGACCAAACAATGTATAAACGTTTCCACTAAAATGTAAGCACACATAGCATTATTCTAATATCCCATATGTCCACCGTCATGCCTTCGAAAATATCCGCCACGCAAATTAAAACGAAAATAGTGTAAAGATCTATTGAATTAGCAAAATAAATGTTATTCAAGTTTTTCTTATCTTATTTTAAATATCCAATTTGTGTATTGTAATAATTTGTATTCAGAATGTTAATTGGCTTTTAATAATAATAAAAATAAAGTTGAGTTCCTATACTTAATTATATGTAATAGAGAAACCGTATATGTCAAAAGCTTCTAACCTTACTTCCAGAGCATTAGATGACTATTAGTGAGCTTATCAAATATACGAGTACTAGGAGCACAGATGGGCAACAATAAGAATTTATCTAGCATAAGCGTTTAAAGTAACTTTTGTTGGGCCTAAATATTTTTTGGAATTTTTTTTTTTTGACTTGAAGGTTATAACCTAGGTTAGCGACCTATATTAGCGATAGGTTATAACATATCGCTAATATAGGTCGCTAAAAACTATAATTAGGTTGGTTGCAATGAATTTGTCGCTAGACTGTTTGAGAAAAACCAGGACCCGATTGTTAGATTTGGGTCCATGAATATTTTCACATTTTAGTAGACCATTTAATAAAAAAAATTTTAATATATACTCCATTAATATTTGTTTCTATTCGACCATATTCTATTATTTATTTGCGTGGTTTGAACATGGGTTGGTACAACTTGATAAATTTTTATTAATATTTATGTATGCCCAGTCCGCATATTAAATTAAACAGGCCTACAACATTTTTTCAATAATTATGGCCACTTTAGCCCTGAACTCTAGTGTAAAGTACAGAACTTTATTAGCAGTAGTTTTTAGTTAAAGTAATAATTGTTGGTCTATGTATAGAACAAAGATTATGATAATATGATAAAAACTTCTTGGTTGGGTTTATTATTCCGAAACAATTTTTTTCTCTTTCGATATATATTTCGCATTGTCTCATTAAATTCGATCTTAATGAATATTTAAAACGTAAAAATGAATAATGAAATTCATTGATTTATAGTTCATGAATTGAAACAATGTTACATTATATAGTATGGGGCATAAAAACGTAATAGGTAGTTAACCAAAAATGTATTGAAACTAAAACGCCACTTATACGTTTCATAGTATGTTTCCTTAATTATAATAATATTTGTCTATTATTTTTGCCTATATTGTATAAGGGAATCCCGAACTTTGCGAGTGACATATTATACAGCGAGGGCAATAGGCTCATAAATGCATAACTTATGAGTAGAGCAGAGGACTTGTGGCATTTGCATATTTTTTTGCACAGTCACAAAAATAACAGAGTGCGAAACAAATATGTTTCATGCTTCTACAAAGCTAGTTTTGAAATTTTATTGTACATATAAATGCATATTTTGCATTTCTTTGTTTTTTAGGGCATATTTCTTCCATTTTATACTTTTAGATGCATATTTAAAATAATTTATCATTTTATCAATAATTTTTCGTTGACGTTTTTATTTATTTATACAAACAAAATTACGTTGAATTTAAAATGATTTTAAATTTTGATCATAATATTAATATGGTTTTTGACGTTTTCCAGACCTATCATGGTTTTACTAAAAACACGTCTCGAGAGTTGTTGTTTAGTTTGATTGTCGGGTTATTAATTTTATTTATAGACAGATGACATAATATGAACAATATTATTATATTAATGCACAAAATATTGATACGGGCTACGGGGACGCCATATTCATATTTCAGTAATCGCTGTGTTTCTCAACGGTTGACAGTCCTAACACGAACTATTTACTATTTATTATAAAAAATGCCTAAAATAAGTATCCAGATAAGAAAACCCATAAAATAAATCCAATTAGTTCATTGTAACTTGTAAGTTGTTAAATAAAATTGTAAATAAAATGTATTCATTATAATAAGTACCTACAGAAAAAATTCTTATTTTTTGATAGCATTGATTTTAGAATATCTAAAAGGTTCATGAGGATCTACTATATTTTCCGTGGACAGGCCCCTTAGAGAATTTTTTTTGGCGCGTAAAATGTCTTAATATGGCATTGCATAATCTCGTTTATGAAATAAACGGCATATTTTTTTTACATTATGTCACTTACTCATGACTATATGTTTCGTACAAGTCCATAAACACACCATTTATTTCACTAAGTATACAGATTAATTATCAGTTTATTCAGAGACATTTATCACAACTGACGTAACTATTCGATCATAAATTAAAGATAACTGGCAAATTGAAAAATATTTTTTTCCTAATAAAAAATTACACAACAAAACCTATATCAGTTTCTTTATATATATTATATGTATTTAACCTTATGGTCATTATATAAGTAATTAACAGTTCTCTGTTATTATACGATTCACTGAAAGCATTTCAAATATTTTCAAGGCTAAAGTTCTTTCATTATATGTAGGTATTATTTATTATATTATAAATAGTTATATAAAGAAGTATTTCATTTTATCTGTATAGTGAATTATTTTTTTAAGATAATTACGTATATTTTTTAGAATACTTAACATTAATAAGTAACTAACTAAACCAATACAATTAGATTATTAATGTTATCTGACATCATATAATAACTCTTATCTAATAATACGTATTATATTATTAATTTGATCATATTACACTTTGACTTAAGAGTTTACACATATATTAAATATATATTTATTTGTTTAAACTGTTGATAATAATTCAACCATGAACAATTACCTTTTAAATAAGTTCATATGTTCAAATTATTGACCATTGTAAATATTTATAACATTACGTACCTACCTACCTTATATTGTTATTATTAAATTATTTAATACGTAAATACTGTATTAATTAATTTCTAGATCTTGAGATAGGACTAAGGAATGTATATATACATCGTGGATGTAAATATAGAACTATAGTCTATCATCTATGGACTACTACTATAAATTAATTATACATTTAACATATGTTACTTCAAGACAACTACATAAAATTGTATTTTTTTCATTTCATAAATAAAGAAATAGAATCTATTTCTTTAATTTTTTCTTTTATTATCTGATAATAAACTGGATTTTAATTTATACACAATAAGGGAAATCAAAAATAATTAAGCTTAACTATGGTATTTTCCTTTTTCTTTTTAACTTTTACATTAAGTTAAGGATTATTCTTCCATTATTCTAACTTTATAATTAAAAAATCTAAAGCATAGATTTAATTTAATTAGTGTATTGTTAACTGATTGTTTTCATAAACAACTATAATAGACATTGTATTTTATTTCATAATAAATTGTGAAATTTTATCCATGTGGACTTTGATTTTGTTATAAATGCAACTTGAAAAAATGAGTCAGGCATTTATGATAAATACATTTTTTGCAGTACCTTCAAATCATTTTTGTCAGATCACAAAATAATTTTATCTTATTTTTAAAATAATAACTGATATTCATACAGATACATATATATTATAAAATATAAAACAAATTACAATTTTCAGGTGTAAACTAATTTTAATAAATATTAAGAAAATATTGTAGGTTGTCAGAACAGATTACATTTATATTTTAAAAATGACAAAAAATATTGAAATAAAAACATTACATTTTTTTTTGATTTTGTTAAAATTTATCATCAGTCTCATAAATGAAAGTAGTTTCCAAAACATTAACTTACACCTAAATTAATTTGGGCTCCAATATAATAAATAAAGAACTACCACCAATTTGATGAAAAATTAAATGTTGCACAATTATAGAAATAAAAATAAACCGTTGTTAAAATACAAATAGTCATAAATATATACTTCTGTATTTCCATTAATTACTATTTGCAAGAGAGATTTAATTTAAGTTTTAAATTAGCAGCCAATTTGTCCAAAAATTCAAATGTATTCAAATAATCAGATCGTTGAACACCATTCATCCCTTTAATGCATATAGCCAAATCTTTAGTCATGAACCCACTTTCTATAGTTTCTATGCAGACTTCCTCCAATTTATTTGCAAAATCTTCCAATTGTTTGTTGTTGTCCAATTTTGCTCTATGCAACAATCCTCTAGTCCATGCAAAGATAGATGCAATTGGATTTGTAGATGTTTCTTTACCTTGTTGATGCATACGATAATGTCTAGTAACAGTACCATGGGCAGCTTCTGATTCAACAGTCTTACCGTCAGGGCAAATCAGTACAGATGTCATCAATCCCAATGATCCATACCCTTGGGCAATAGAATCAGATTGAACATCACCATCATAATTTTTACAAGCCCAAACAAATCCTCCTTCAGATTTCATGGCATATGCTACCATATCATCAATTAATCTGTGTTCATACCAAATACCTTTAGCTTCATACAATGGTTTATACTGTGTATCATAAATTTCTTGAAATATATCTTTGAAACGACCATCATATTTTTTTAAGATTGTATTTTTAGTACTTAGATATAAAGGAAGCTCCCTAGATAGAGCAAACTTCAATGAAGAATGTGCAAAATCTATAATAGATGCATCTGTATTGAACATTCCCAATGCAACTCCTGCACCCTTGAAATCATTGACAACTTCTTCAATTTTTTCATTACCTTAAATAAAAATAAATAAAAATTTACATTTTATATGGTAAAATTAAAATTATAAAATGTACAAATCATCATGTACTAAAAATCAAAATGTACCATCATTAGAAGTCCATGTTAATGTAAGTTTGCCAGCTCCTGGAACAACAAAATCTGTAGCCTTGTATTGGTCAGCATGAGCATGTCTTCCAATTATTATTGGTTTTTCCCATCCTGTAACCAATCTAGGGATGTTTTTGCATACAATAGCTTCTCTGAACACAGTACCACCAAGAACATTTCTGATGGTACCATTAGGACTTTTCCACATTTTTTTAAGTTTGAATTCTTCAACTCTCTTTTCATCTGGTGTAATAGTAGCACATTTGATTCCAACATTGTACTTTTTTACGGCTTCAGCACAATCTAATGTAACTTGATCGTTTGTCAAGTCACGATTTTCCATCCCCAAATCATAGACGTGAAGTTCGATGTCCAAGAATGGTAAAATTAATTTTTCCTTGATCAAATCCCAAATAATACGTGTCATTTCATCGCCCAAAATATCAACGACAGGTCCAGCACTGATTTTCGCCATTATTATATTTAATATAAAAAATGAGTTTACAATAACGCCTAAAAATTAACAACGAAACGGATAGTTTAACTGTTCTTTAGATGGTACTAAAGACCGTAACGATTCAAGTTTTAAATTTAAATGATATTCAACTGAGTAGCACACAATTGATTTGATCACTGTCGACGGAAATTATATTAAACGAATAGGAATTACATCAAATTGGATGCACGATAACAATGTAGAATAAAAACCGGACTTCGCACTAATCGCAAACCGTCTACGTGGAAGGTGGAACCATTGATTACGACAAACTCATATGTTTTTTTTTCCTCTTATAATCGATATTACATGACCACGAATATAAATGTGACAATTTATTTAAATGATAAAAAAGAAGATAATAGCTTATCTCGTATATAGGGATTGTTTTTTCTGATATAAAACCATACAGTGGCTCCCTTTCTGCACGGTTCATATTAAGTACGGTAAGTTTTTCCCAACTGTTCGCTCATACTGTTTTTCATTTAAAATGGCGTCTAAGTGATTAATATTATTATTATTATTTTTATTTTATTTTTATTAGTAGATTGGTTGAAAACCTTAAAACCTGCTAATTAATTAATTTATCTATGTGTCCAAGTTATATTTATACACCGGATAATTGAATGCGTCAATCAGAAGTGACTAATTAATAATGATATCTCAGTACGTATCGTATACGGTGTGCATCGTTCTGTTTAAGAACAAAGACTATTCGCTTGGGTAATGTTTATAATATTATTATTACTTTTTTTTTTTTATTACTTTCAATAATTGACTGTCATCGAGAATAGTCATAGTCATAACTGTTCTACCTGCTAAATGTGCTTCAATTATCTTGTTTGGTTAGTTCCTATTTCGGTTGTTAGCCAAGATTCCGTGTAGTTCTACCATATCTCGTTCATCAGACAATTTTCAGCACTGCAAAACTGTTTACGAAAAAAAACTTGTAATTTAAAAGGTTTATTTTCCACTCTATGTGCTTCGTTTTGTTTTTATATGTGTATAAAAAATATAATTCCATACTGCATATTTGTTTAATAATATTAATTGAAAATATTAAGTTTTGATTCAATTCTGTAGTTTGATCGTCAGATCATTATTATTAGTTTTGACAACATCAATTTATATGAACCTATATCTTAGGTGCCTATATTGTGTATTTTTTTCTTATTGCTAGACTTTATATTAGATAATTTGAAAGTTAGTTACTCTTTGGTTATATTAATGTTTTAATGATTAACAATATTACTTGCTTAGTTATTAATACTTTTATTACATTAATTTGGTGTAAGTGTCAAAATTAAATCAATATGTATGTATGCTTTTTATATAATTTATTAATAAGATAAATTATTTAATCTACATTAATGTTTTAATGACTTAATCGTTTCAATTAATCTTTGAAAAAGAAGATAAATTACCCTAGACATTATATCTATTGTCTTCAATTTCTCTAGATCACCTTTGATAGTATAAATATTTAATTTATTTGGTTCAAAGAATTTATTTTTATTATTATTATATATTAAGATTAATATAAGGCATGTTTTGGCGGAACAATAAAAAACCCTATTGCTATTTTCTGCAATTACACTGTTTTGGCCTATTGGTCACTATAATTATTTACTTATCGTTCACTAATTTCAGTAAACTAATATATAAATTCTTCTAACAATTAAAATAAGGATTTCGATGTTTGGTTGGATTGTCTATCAATTGTACACTTAAAAAATTTATAATATATTGTAACAGGTAACTATCAAATTTTGATGTTATAATCTGTCATAATAGAATTGAATCCTTCTAGATCCTTTAACTATAATTTTAAATGATACTGTATATTATTCATTTTTATTTTCTAAAATATACATATTCGATTAGTAAAATTAAAGAGTAAAATTAATATTTAAAATAAATAAAGTAATATTCCTGTTTTATTTCATTTTATTATTTATATATTCATAATTATTTAGAGAATAAATGTCTTGAAACATTTCATTGTATTTTCATGTTGGCATTCGTGATCTGCGAATTTAGGACGAGTGATCTACATTTTAATAGTATAAAAACACATTATTTTTTTTACTACAAATATGTCATATCTTATAAATATTCTTCAAATATAAAAATAAAAAATAATTAGTCAAATATAATTATAATTTCAATTACAGTAAACATTTTATAAAATTCAGACGTTCGCATTATAGACAAAATCTGACCAAAAAACAATTTGAAACTAATCAATCCAGCTATATTGCTAATAATTCGTAGTTATATTGTAAATGTCATTAATCGTTATTGCAATACTGTCCTATTGCGGTCTACAATTATGTGCGTATAATAATAGGTAATAATAATTGTAGATCACCAACTATACCTTGTATAATATGGTAGATCACCTGATATATCTAAAAAGAGGTTGTAGATCATCTGCTGTACGAATGCCTTCATGTTTATTGGAATACTAATAATGGGTCTCAATACTTATCTCTCTTTAAAAAACTCAATTTTACACTTTTTTTTTTTTAAAAAAAATGTTTAAAACTATGAATATTGTTTTGTATTTATTAATACTTATGGTATTTAAATCAATACCAAGATGCATTATTTTAGCATTGTTAATTAAATGTTCAACTACTTATTCTAAATTTATATCTATGTTTTCAATTACAAAAATATTTTTCATTCCGAAATCTACTATTTGCTCCATTCAATTAAAGAATTGACTTTATATAATTAATGGTTTTCACTAGTTGGGTGTAATTTTAAATGTATGTATATTAGGTGGTTTGTTTTGCAAACATTTTTGTTTTTCAATATTTATTAAATAGGGCCTTTTTGAAATTGTGCTCTACAACATAACCCATATATTATTTATTGCTTATAAATAGTTCTGTTATAATTATAATCACTATCTTAAAAATATATAAAACATTATTATAATGATCGATAATTACATTGAATTAATTAAAAGAAAATTATTCCTAACTGTTAATATAAGCAATTTTAGTTTCATAATTATAGTTAATAAATAATGATCAAATATAATGTGCCTAAATATTCTATAATTTAGGATAAAAACTAATCATTTTCTTAGACAAACTAAAAATTATTTAGTGGTATAAACAAAATATTTAATCTGGCTTATTTATTTATCACATTAATACATGTATAGTTTATCCGGGTATCTACATCAAATATTATATTGTGTACATAATATGTATATTCTACATAGACAATTGAATCTTATTCAATTATAAACTTCTTAAATTATATCAATACTATTATTTTTAATTATAATTGTTCTTGTACTTATTGAGATGTTTAATACTTACATTTGTAGTTAAGCTTTTATGAAATATTTAGATTGAAAGAAATATATTTAATTCTGTATCTGTGTCTTAATTTCTTAGCTAACTGTTGTTATTTTAGTAAAACAAAGATACTTTTCATGAATAAATTTAATAAATAAACAACATTTTAACAATATTGTCAATTTACTTTGTTTTATTTCGATAAATATTATAAAAGTGATTTTAAGTATTATAGTTGAAAAAACTAATATTTTAAATTTATTATTAGTAGCACTTAAATAAAACACTTCAACTGTAATGTAGTAAGTTAGATAATTGAATAGTTATTATTTAAGTATTTTACTGACAATCTTTATCTGCCTAATTTTTTAATATTCTACCAAGTCATCAACATTTGCAGTTACTTAGCTTATTATTTTAATTGTTTATTATATTTTCAGGTGCAGTTATTTGAAATAATGAAAATGTATTAAGAAAAACAATATCACTATGATTTAGAAAAGTTATTATATAAAGAACCCGAATGAACAATGGGTTCAACCCAAGGGGAGATTAGAGTTGGACCATCTCATCAGGTAAATTCAAATTTGTATTAAAATTCAATAAAATTATAAAATAACATATATTTCTTTGTTTAGGCTAGATTACCAGATTATCGAACAGTTAGTAATAGTTCAAATGGAATAGTTGGAGAGGATAGAGAAGAAGCCCGTTGGGTATCAGGTACTGTAAGAGATCGAGATTTATTAGTTTATTTACGTGCAGCTCGATCCATGGCTGCATACGCGGGTATGTGTGATGGTGGCTCTGCTGACGAAGGATGTATTGCAGCATCACGGGATGATACAACAATTAATGCTTTTCACATTGTAAGTAAAAATTATTAAAAATCTTTTATTATAATCAAGACTTTAAAATTCAAAATGTTAATCCTTTGAGGAGTGACTTAGAAATATACAGACGCTACTCAGAGTGCGAATTAGAAATGAAACATTAAAAAAAAAAGAAAAAAATTTAAAACTTGGATTGATAAATTATAGATTTGTCTCATTTTTACAATCATATTTTTAGTAATGACATTTAATATGTCAGAAATACCCTAAAAGTTGTATCTTTTTATTTTAGCATTGATGTACACTTGTACATCATGTATTAAATTATATTATTTCCAAATACATTTATAAAAGAACATTTATTTAACTAAAACAAAACATATTATATTAATGGTTATTGATATTATTTATAAAACTATTTTCAATTTTAGAGTCCGGCAAAAATTCTGTATCTAAAAAATTGTCTTCTCTTTCACTATCATCTTCAGACTCATCATTAGTAATATTTTCTTATACCTGTTTATTTGATAAACTCATTTTTATTTGTAGTAAAACTACATTAAAAACTAACAAATATACTAGGAAATAAACTGCGAATAAATTATAAATTTATAATGAAATTGTAGACATTGAAATATAAAATTATAATCATGAGTTATCATCATGTAATCTGAATTGTGTGATAATCAAAGTGACGCCTTTGAACTATGATATGATAGACAATACCAGCTGTAAATTAAATTGACATGACATAATTAATATTTTAACTGTAGACTTCCATAAAATAAAATTAATTAATTTAGTTTAAATTATAACCAACAGAGCGAAGCACATAATTCATCTATCTCGTATATTCCTACAATGCTATTTTATAATATAATATACATTAACATCAAGAAAATAAAAGTGCTTAAAACATAAATGTACATCAATGTTTTGCGTATAATTTTTAAAAATGTATATATGTGTCATTGCTCTTCAAAGAGTTAAAGGAATTTTTTTTTTTAATTTAATGTTTTAAAAAAATTAAAAACTGAAGCTAATTTATTTTTTATACATTTTAGTTACATGATTCTGGTTATGATCCTGGAAAAGCTTTACAAGCACTAGTTAAGTGTCCAATGCCTAAAGGAATTGATAAAAAGTGGTCTGAAGAAGAAACGGTAATACATATTATTACTAAGTACTATCTTAAGTGATATTTATTGTTAATTTTCTGTTTTAGAAAAAGTTTGTAAAAGGATTAAGACAATATGGAAAAAATTTTCACAGAATCAGAAAAGATTTGTTGCCCCATAAGGATACTGTTAGTATTTTAATTACATATGTTTCATTAAATAATTTTAAAATAAATTTATTTTAGCCGGAATTAGTCGAGTACTATTATTTATGGAAAAAAACACCGGGTGCTAATAATAATAGACCTCATAGAAGAAGAAGACAAGGCTCTTTGAGACGAATCAGAACTACAAGAGCTACAAGACCATCTAGTGCTCAAAAAGATGAATCTAGTAATTTACAATTTTTTATTATTCTATCCATTTATTAGTATTGTTGTGTACCCTTTTGTATTACTGTTATTATTTATTACTTAATAAACTTTAAACATAAAATAAAATAATAAATATCTCATATATTAAAATAAATAAATAAATGCTTAGCCTGTCTGGATAATTATTATATTTATAAAGTATGTCTGGTTTCAAATTTAGGTATATACAAAGTCAATAAAATCTTGACTCAATAATAATATAATGTATTATTATAACTCTAATTTAATTAAAATAAAATACTCAAGGGTAAACATTAATTTGTTTATATATTAATTTACGACTATTATCCATTTACTAATTTTTAATTTTAATTAAATTTTTTATTATTTTATTAAACTTGATACTTTAAAACTAGTATCAAAATATTATTTACATTTTGTAAAAACATTATTTTTCAATATTTATAATCAATATAAATTTTTCATAATACATATAATATAATTTTCTTTAATTATTCATCTTTATTTAAATAATTTTATTTTTTACTAGGTACAGGTTCACGTCCATCACCTATATCAAAAGAACCCGGTTAGTAAATAATATATAATACCGTTTTTTTTTTTTTTTTTTTTTTTTTTTTTTTAATAATTATTCCATAAGTAGGTGATGGGAGTTCTGGTGTTAGTGAAGACGATGGTGGAAATACTGAAGATGACTCTGACTCTAGAGATAATACTACACTATTTCGATGTCATCATTGTTTTGCAACAAGTAAATCTAAAATATTGCTTTTTATTAAATATTGTTGTATTATATTTTATTTATATACTTATAGGTACTAGAGATTGGCAAAATGCAGCTATTGGACCTAAGCAAGGCAATTTATTATGTTTTGAATGTCGCAGTTATAATAAAAAATATGGTGAATTACCACCTACACCACAATCACCTGCTGAGTGTCCTAGTCCAGCTACTTCCGATGTCACTGTTACTGCTGAATCTCCAAGTAGAATGCGTACCCGTAATAAATCTAAAGAAACGGTACTAATATCAATGTTCATCGTGGAATGTTTTTATTTATTTAAGAATTTTTTTTTTTAGCCTACTAAAAGTATCCAGAGTAGATCAAAGCGCAGCAGAGCTAATACACCAGAAATAATTCAAGATAATGAAAAAAAAGAAACATCAGTGGCTTCACCTTCAACTGATAAATCTAAATCTAAGGTAATTTTTTTGTTTAAAATTTTAATTTATTTTAAATTGAATCTTTTCTATAATTATAAATATTTAGGGAAATTTGAGTGATACTCCAAAAAAACGATCATTAGATACTGACGGTGAAGAAGAAAGTCCTTTAAAACGAGAATCCAACCATTCTGAGAGTACAAGTTCTGATGGATATTCTGGTAATGATGATGAAGCTCAAGTTACTACTCTAGCATCTAGTGAATCTATGAATCAAGAAACTGAAACATCTGACACTATACAAACAGAAACCCAACCAGAATCTGAATTTACCTCTGATGTTATACCTAAAGAAGAACCTATTCAAGAACAAAATACTGAATCCCAGTCTGAAGATATGATAGTTATTTCAGCTGAAAACGTTAATAATAACGAAAATGTATCAATTAAAAATGAAACTAGTGATGAACTTATGAATGTAGATGTGCCAGAAGAATCTCAACAGTCTATTAACTCAACTGAAGAAGTTGAAAAAGAGTCAGTAGAAAAAATAGCATACACAGTACCAAATACTCAGTTTGCAGCTGAAAATGTCATACCTTCAGATGCTGATGTTGAAGTTAAAGAAGAATTGACTACTACTACAACTATTTCTGAAGAAATATCCCAACCACAAATTGAACAACCTGTTCAAGAAGAGTGCATGACTTCACCAATTGCTTTAACATCCTATTCACCTAGGCGTTCAGAAGCAATAAAACCACCTACTCCAAATCAACCTCAAATACTTGTACCAACATATCAAAATTCATTTAATGATCATGAAAGAATTGGAGACAAATCATTAAATGTACCTACTGTTTCTGCACCGGTCACACAATCATTTGCTACTCCATTTTATCCTTATAACAATCAAATTTCGGATAAAATACATGCTCCTGTGTATGAAACACAATTGGAACCACAAAATTTAAAAATAAAGCAAGAAATATCTGATCCATTACAATCATTAAAAGAAGTTAAAGTACCTGGTTACAATGGTCCTGGTGCTGTTTCTCAACCATTACAAGCAACAAGTTCTGCTATTACTGTTAATACAGACTTAGCTAATATGTCGGCTGAAACAATTAAAAAAGAACCAGAATTAAAGTCTCCGTTACAAGCCAAATCACATACTCAAACTTCTTCAGCACCATTATTTGCTCCTCCAACATCTATTCCTCAACCAGTAATGCACCCTTCACAACAAATATCCTCATTAAACCGAATATCTCCAGCCGGTGGAGTTCCACCTCATCATCCATTTGCTGCTATGCATCCTCATCATCCTTTATTACATCCACATTCATTATTTGCTGCTGCTGCAGCTGCACATGCAGTTCTGCATAATCCATATCATCCTCATCCTGCATATGCAGGATATCCACCATATGGATTCCCTTATGCACCTTATCCTATACCACCACCGAGTAAAAGAGGTCCTGATGAAACCACAACAATGACAGCTCATCATCATCATTCAGTTAGTACTAGCAGTCGCATTGATGAAGAAATTACTCATCATTCCAGTTCAACATCAGTTCAACATCTTTCAAGTTCTACAGATAAACATACTTTATCACATTCAACTACTTCATCTTCACAATTAGTACAGCATAAGTTAAAAAGAGGAAACAGCCCTCAGTCAGGTTCAAGCCATATATCAGCAACTCTTTCACACACAACTTCTTCATCTTTATCTACTCATGGTGGTGCTGGTAATGCAACAAATGGTAGTCACACCCATCATCATCAGCATACCCACCATCATCAACATGCCTCTTCATCTGTACATGGTAAATTAATACGGAAAATAATTTTTCTACAGTAATTTTTATTTTTAAATTTAAATTGTTTAGGTTCAAGTCGAAATTTACCTCCTCAAGCAAGTGCTATTAAACATCATACACCATTATCTTTGGAAGCACTGAGAGCCCATACAGCCATGCATGGTAAAAATCAAATTTCAAAAAAAATTTCTTTTGATTTGCAATTTATTAATTTATAATATTATTAATATATTTATTAATTTAAAAGTAATGTTTGTTAAAGTTTTATCTCAAATTATATTATTGAGTAATTTAATTATTATTACAACAGGTTACATGGGTGCAATGGAATTAGCTACAGGAATGCCACCAGGAATGGAAATGATGAAGCCCGATCAGATGATGAGTCAAAGTACTGATGATGGTAATAATGAAGAAGAAAGTTCACCAAGTCCAAACTTACATATACCTCATGGACCATCACCTGAACCTAAAATTGAAGATAGTGAATGTCATCGTAGTCAAAGTGCAATGTACAGTTTTTTATATTAGTATATCTATCATACTTGTCTATTGTTTATAATTTTTACTTTTGATAATAATTAAATATCTTAATTTAGATTTTTGAGACATTGGAACAGAGGTGATTACAATTCATGTTGTCGTACTGATTTAACCTTCAAACCAGTTCCTGAGTCCAAACTTAGTAGAAAGCGTGAAGAAAGAACTAGACGACAAGCTGAAAAAGAGCGAGATGAAAGAGATAAATCACATTCAGTAATTATACTAATAATAAACTAGTAGTTATGAATTTCTTTTAACTTGTATTTAATTGAAATTTTTTTTAGAGAAAAAGTTCAAATAATGACAAACATATGCAAGTTGCTAATGAACAGGTTGTTAAGCCACCTTCTCGAGGTAGTATTGAAGCACTTCAATCTCCATATGATAGAGTTAATAGTTATCAACATAGAGGAACACCGGCCAATACTCCTATATACCCTGACACTCCTGCATTAAGACAATTAAGGTACATCATATAAAATCAGAAAAAAATATTTTCTTTAGTAATAAATCTTGTTAATTTTTACTTTTAAAATCTTTACAAAAAAAGTTTATTAATAGGTTTTGATATATATTTATGTAGCATCTTATTAGTAATTATTTTAGATTACAGTGTTATTCTAGAATTTTTATAGTTAGCTTTTCTTTTCTTATTCTGAAATATTTTAATATTTTGAAGTTTGAAACTATCATATAACTTTTTTTTTTTTGATTAGTGAATACGCTAGACCACATGCTGGATTTTCTCCTGTTTCATTACAACGTTCAGGACCTGGATTAGGTTTGCCACCTCATTGCATTGATCCAATGTTACATTATCAATTTAATATGTATCCACGTGACAGGTAAGTTAAACTATAATATTTACTATTTGAAAAAGAGAATCAATTAAAACATATTTTTAGATTCGAATTTGAACAAATGGAACGCGAAAAACGTGAAAGGGAATTAAGAGAACTTAGAGAAAAAGAATTGAATGATAGACTTAAAGATGAATTTTTAAAGTCTGGATCATCTGGTCCTCCCAGAATTGATCCACATTGGATTGAACTTCAGCGTCGTTATGGAGGAACCCCTGGTATACATCCATTTGGTTTGTATCCATCACCTGGAGCTCCTAGTCAACCTTCTACTCCTAGTAATATGAATCCATTAGATCGGGAGCGTATGGATAGACTTGGTAATATTAATATTCAATTTAATGTTTATGAAATATAATTTTTATGTTCTAAATGTTTATAGCTGGTGGGCCAAATGGAAATTCAAACCAAAATAATTCAAGTGGAGGCCCTTCTGGACCATCTACTGAAGAAGCAAATCGTTTAGCATTGGCAACTGATCCTATGGTCAGGTTGCAGTTAGCTGGTATTTCTCCTGAATATCATGCACATACTCACGCACATTCTCATACTCACCTACATTTACATCCAGGACAGCAAGCTGCTGCTGCAGCTGCTGCTGCCGCTGCTGCTGATAGCTCAGCTTCTGCTTCTTCACCTTCAGTTTATCCACTTGGTTGTATGTATAACTAATTATTTATTTCATTAAATTTAAATGTTATGAATACATCTACACAATATTTGTTTAATTTAAATTGTATTATAAGTTTCAAAATAAAAACCTATTAATTGAATAAAATATATGATTAATTATAATAAAACAATTGTATCTAACAAATTATTTGACTAATTAAATTAAATTAAATTAATGTAAGTATATACAGATAAAAAAAAAGAGAAAATAAGAAATAAATATAAATTTATTTTTAGGTTAGTTAGTTATTTATTTTTATTACAATTTAAATGTATTTTAGTGAGTCTAAGTTTATTTCAAACTTAACATTAAATTATATAACATAAATTATATAACTATATAATTTCAAAATAAAATATTATTATTTTAAAACTTATTTCCATATTTTAATAAGATGTTCTACTATCTACTATTATAAAAGAATTTTTTTTCATTTTTTGTAAAATTTTAATAGCTAAGTATAGATTATATATAAAAAAAAATAATTTATATTAATTTTTTTATTGAGATATATGTATATTTAATATTAATATGTGATGAACTTATACTAATTTTAGCTTCTGGTGCTTACCCTCGTCCAAATCTTTTACCTGGTCGTGATCCTACATTAGGACTTCATCATCCAAGTGATGTGTTAGCTCGGCCATTTGCAGACCAAGTAAGACCATTTTTAGATCAAGTAATACTATTTTATAGTTTTAAATTCAAACAAAATATGACATTATAACTAGAAATTACATATTTAAGATCCAATAGTTTTATTGTATATTGATTAAAGTTCAGATATTACTAAATCTATCTTCTTGCAAGAATATTACCTTTTTTGATATCTTTAAAAAAAATATATATATATACACAGTGCATCCCATAAGTTTTGAGACTAAGGTACTAATGTTATTAAAAAAAAATTAAAAAATTGTTTTAAGCAATTTTTTATTCAAAATAGTCACCATTACATTCTATACATCTTCTTGCACAATAGCCCAATTTTCCATGGTCCGTGAAAAGTCAGCTTTAGGAATATTCTTGATCTTTTGAGTCATTGGTTCTTGAATTGTTTCAATGGTGGCAAAATAGTATCCCTTGAGCTCCATCTTCAACTTTGGGAACAGAAAATAGTCCGGAGGATTCAAATCTGGTGAATATAGGGGGGGTGGTTGAGTACTGGAACCATTTTTTTGGCCAAAAATTGAGTGCAATCGCCGCGGTGTGTGCTGGAGCGTTATCGTGCAGCAAGAAAAAACCGATCTTTCCATAAAGCGGGCCTAACGCGTGCAATTATTTTACAGAGGCGATCTAAAACATTTTTGTAGAATTCGACATAAATAGTATTCCCGGGGGCACAAATTTTTTGTGTATAATTCCTTGGAAATCAAAAAAAAAATCAATCAAAGCATGGTCTTGATTTTGAATTTTCGAAATAGAATTTTTTTTGGTAGTGGCGAATTTTCCCCTACCCACTGTGCACTTTGCCGTTTGGTTTTCGGGTCATAGGCAAAACACCAACTCTCGTCATCCGTAATAATATTTTTTAAAAAATTTGGAGTATTGGTAACCATTTGAAGATAATTTTTGGCGTAATTTTTCGTCTCATGTCGTTATTTCCTGGTTAGCTCATGAGGAACAAAACGCCCTCAAAATTTTTTGTTTCCTAAATCTTCTCTAATAATTCGTTGAACAATCGTTTTTGGAATGTTAGTTAACTCTTCCACTAATTTACAACCAGCATTTCGATGTTCGTTCAAAACAGCTGAGATGTGAGCAATGCTTTCGTCAGTTTTCGTTGTGCTTGGTCTTCCACATCTCTGCTTGTCATCAAATGACTCCCTGCCGGATAAAAACTGACTATATCACCAAATTAAAGTAGCACGGGACATAACTCACCGTAAGCTTTGATCATCATTTGGAACGTTTCTATAGCTCTTTTTTTAACTTAACATAAAATTTTATCGCTATTTGTTCAAGATTATTTTCCATATTGGAATAATAACCGCGATCACAAACATACATTCATGAAGGTTACAATTATACTGCCAAAGATTATCCTATACATGTGAATCTTTGTACGAATGACTATGAGTGTCATCGTAATAACTTTCCAGAATTTCACAATTATCTAGATACTAGAATTAATTTTAGAATGGTTGTCTCAAAACTTATAGGACGCACTGTGTATATGAAAAAAATCAATCATTTCACTATTTTACTTTTTCAAAACTTTCGAAATCTTTTATGAACCCCTTCTCTAAATATTTTTATGTTAGTATTACAGAAGTCCTAAAATAAAAAAATTATATTAATATCAAAATATGTTTTTAACCTTTTAGGTTATGTAAATTTAAATTCTTATTTAAGTTTTAACTTGAAAGCCTCAGTATAGTTTAAATTAAAAAATATATTGATATGATTCATATTTCCAAATAGGTTGCACATGAACATTTTCAAAGACAAATGATGATGGAACGTGAACGTTTTCCACATCAAGCTTTTATGGCTCATGAAGAATTTATTAGGTGTGTATGAAACTTATTGATTATGAATTAAAATTAAAATTAAAAAATATTGAAAAATTAAATAGGAAATCAGCCACAAATAGTTCTTAGTAGGTCAATTTTTAATTTTTTCCATATTTTCTTCTGACAGTAAAAAAAAAAAAAAAAAAATGAAGAAAATAACTTTAATATAGAAATAATTAACCATTTTGAATCTCGGCCATTTGTAGTTCTTTTAATATTAGTATTAATAAAAAGTTTTATAATACATGTATTTATGCATAATCAATAATATACTTTATGTGACAACAACATATTAGGCAACAACAACAACAGAGAGAGCGAGAAATGAAAGTTCGTGCCCTTGAAGAAGCTGCACGAGGAAGACCATAACTTTTAGTTACACAGGTAAATTATTAACATAATTGAGAAGATAATTACCATATGTCAAAAAGGTAATGATGTACATTAATTTTTGAAAAATAATGTGAGTGATATTTTTAAATAAAATATCTATACTTAATTTTTTTAGTTATTAACAATTAAAATGATAGGGAAAATGTTTATAATATTATGTTTATATATATATAAAGTTACTATATTAATGTATACTATAAATTATAAAACTATATAAAATATGGTAATTTTATTAATCAAATGTATAAGCATAGTAATTATATATTGTTTAATATTTATTATTAGTTACTTCCTAACACTAATTATAAAATGTATGAAATTTAAGTTAATTATTTTAAATTATTTTAAGATAATGAATTGAGTACTTTTTAAGATCTATCCATTGACATAATACATTTTAAATTGTGAATTAATTATTTAAAAATTTTAAAGTAAACAAGAACTGGAATATTAATATTATTATTTCTTTTTTAAATTTTATTATGAAAATTTCACATTATACGTAAATGTTGTAATCATTTAAAATTAAGATTTATGCTTGTATTAAACTTTTTTAATTAATATTTTACTCTGATTGTTTTAATAAATTAGACTAATTAGTACTTAATATTTAATAATTAGTACCTAATTAATAAACATAAGTGCAATTACATTTTTGTATTTGCTGCACCCTTATCAAAATCAATCCGTCGCACTTCTAGGGATATATCAAGTATAATTAGAAATGCTTACTGATTGACCTTATAGAACCTTATATAATAATTCATTTCAAAATATGCGGTTATTCCTAATAATCTTTTTATACCAATATATTAATTTAAATATACCAGTTGACTTTGGCATTAACTATAATTTTAACAGTCCAAGAAAACTAAAAATAATTAAGACATTAAAGGCAACAATTCTGTATAAACATATTAAATTATGTGAATATTTAAATACAATATGTTATTATTCACACCTTTTACTTTGACCATGACTACTGACCAAACTTCGATAGATTTTAGCTCTCAAGACACTAAATGTATTCATTATTTCTTTTGCCATTGTTATTATTATCATATATTTTAAATAAATTGTGTTACTAATCATTACAATCATATTGAATCAATTAAATTTTTATTATTTTATGAAATTTTTAATTTCCTTTAAAAATTATATATTTTATTTGATTTTTTTATCAGATTTAATATTAACTTAAAAATATATTAACTGATTTTTTAAATATTATAATTTATATATTTAATTATTAACCAATTGTAAAATAGAAATATTTACCAAAAGTATATTGTATGGTGCTATTTTGAAGTAGCAAAAATAATTCTTGTAAACCTTAATTGGTTCAAAATCAATTTTATGATATGTATAAGCATAATAATGTTAGTAGTGATTTGTTTTAATATCTATTATATATTTACATATAAGTATTGATTGATAACATGTGAAGTTGTAGTATTCAAATTTAATTTATTTTTTTCGATATGAAATTTAATTGAATCATATAAATAACTAACAAAATTTCACAATCTTTTTATTTTAATGGATTGTAATTTGTTATTTTAGTGTGTTCCTTTTTGGTTTATTTTAGTTTGTGCTTTATATTATCGTGCACATAAAAAATGTATATAATAATTTACAGTATATTTTTTTTATTTGAATGTAAGTGTACATACACATAACTTGAACTATATAATTCACTTCATTTATAATTATGAAAAGAAATAAAAATATATATATATATAGGTATATATAATAATAAATACATTTTGGTGAAATATATTCTTTTGAGTATTTGTTATTTTGGATAAGTACTATTCAAGAATTCGTTTTATTAGTTAAACAAAAAATACATACATCATAGGTGGTACTGTGTTCTTGTTCATAATTTCCTAAACAAACATTTAACATGTTATTAAATTTGTGATACAATTCTATAAGTTTATAATTATAATGTTATAAATTGCACAAAAGATACAGTAAGTAGTACATTTAATGGTTTATAACTAATAAGTAGGCTTAGGGACTTCTAGCATTTGCATACTTTTTTTAATTATTGTTAAGTATAGCAGAGTGCAAAATAAATTCGTTTCTCAGTGTCATGATATCAGATCTAAAATTTGAATGTGCATATTTTTGCATATTTGATAGATTTTGCAGGAGAGTGCATATTTTAATATTGTTATGCTTATTTTGCATATTTTGACAAATTTTTCAAATTTTTTTATTTAAAATTAAAAACTATAGATACAAATAACATATACATATTTCAACTGATCGATAAAAAAAAAATGTACTAAGAGGTACTTCCAGTAATATGCCATCTGCAAACTACCTCTCATATCTCGTTATAATTTTTATGTAAGTATAAATAATACTATAAACCCGTATTGACCGTATAACCCGCTGGATATCAACCGATATCGATAAAGATAATAGTCGTTATAGAATAATAGATTATTTGTTCAGTATTCAGTTCAGTCGATTATTATCCGTTGTTGTTTTTGCGCCTCGTAAACACACAACGTCGTATCATACTTAAAACGTCGTACGCATATATTTTGTAACATTGTGTAATGCCGAAAGTACAACAATCTACGAGTAGCCGGCTAAAAAGTTTTGTTTCGGAGTTTAAAGATACATTTACATCTGATGGACACGTTTTATTTTGTGTACTACGTGGTCATTTTTTTTTTTTTTTTTTTAATGCATATAAATGTATATTATAATGCATATTTTAATGATTTTAGTAGCATATTTGCATGCATATTTGTGTATTTTTTAGAGCTATAAGTCCCTAAGCCTACTAATAAATATTAAATAATTATTCTTCCGAGTTCCAATGAACAATCTATAAATATCAAGGAATTATTTGTTAAATATTAATAATATTAATACTATCAAAATAAACCTATTAAGTGTTAATCATTAATAAAACTTCTACTATGAATTATTTGTATAATTAAATTTATCTAAAAATTCTAGTTCAATCATAACCACAAATAAATTCTAATTAATTTTTAGCCAGTAACCAAGGGTTAGAATAAAATTATTCATAACAAATGTCAATTTATTCAAATATCTGAATTAAATCTATTGAAAATAAAAGTAAATTATTCATAAAAGTAATAGGAAAAATTACTGGGATTGTAACATACATATAAGCATATCTGTATATATTTGTTTTCTTCGTCTCATAAAATATTTTATCGATGGTTTGTTGAATAAAATTCTACTCTAAGCGGTGAAAACTTAAAAGAGTAATAAATGCCAGTAGATGAAGAAAAGTAATTCTACTCTTATAAATTATACTAATAATACTACTGTTAAAAATTAATTGTTTTCATTTGTGCACTAATTGACAATAGTTTCAAAGCATATTTACCAGAAGTTAATATTTGAGACAGATGATTTATGTATTTTGTAGCCAGTTGTAATGTTTCTATTTTAGATAGTTTCCGATCAGGTGGATCAATGGGTATCATATTCCGTAAAACATCAAATGCCGAGTTAACACTAAATAAAATTAGAAAGTTATATTTTTTTTATGAAATTTTATTACTAAAAAAGTAAATACCTTTGAGTTCGATCTCTTTCTCTAGCATTAGCTCCTGATCTGATTCTTTTCTTTGAGGGCACTTGATTAAAAATAACTTTAAAAAAGGTTTGTTAATATTTAAATCGTACTGTATATGTTCTAGAGTAATTACTTGAGTTTTTCTGAAAACCATTTGAACCACCATCAAATTCCATATTATGAACAAACAATAAATTATTTGAATATATTTTATTATGTTAAGTCTAAACAGTTTGAACTCATATGATAAACAACCCGATTTATTCAGTTTTAAATAATAATATATGGTACTATCTAATCTAAAAATATTCTGTTTAGGTGTGGTTTAAATGATGCTTCAAACCTACTTAAAAATATGGTTATATTATAAATGAACTATTATGGTTGTCAAAAATAATTAATTTGTTTTAAAACTGTAATTGCATCAACATGTGAGCATATTGTACAAAATGTATACAATTATTTTGAAAAATCTTCGATATTAAGGCTCTCATACACGGTCAGTTATGAATGAAAATAAATGTGACTGATGATTGATAATTTCCATATTTGGTAAATCAAGAATATCAATCTTCATTTATTCATTTATTTTGTCAATCAAAAAATACATTTTTTGTGCTATTTCCTATTGTTTATCGTAAAACTTTTTTGAGCTCCCTACGATAATTTGATGTCATATTTATTTTCTTCTTGGCACTATATGTATCAATTTCCTTTAATTTTTCAGTTAATTTTAAGTAACTTTCTTGCTTCAAAACTCGGTTTTTATAGATTTCACTTTTTACTTGCCACGTGGCCGGTAAACTACGATATAAATTAATAAAGTCACATTAAAAATTTTTATTATTTAATTTATTCATTATATATTATATTAAATGATTTGTTATAAATTAAGTTTAAATTTAATAAAAAATATTAATTAATGTATATTAAATATAATATAAAATATAGTACTTAAATAAATAATATAGGTACTTTTTTATTATTTTGGTAAGCACGTGCACTCATGCGCACTGCACTTTTCGGTTCATTCGACTGACATCATGTACGTACACGAGCAATCATGAATGTCAACCATATTGACTGATAATAAAAATGCAAACATGTTTGAATTTCATAAATCATAAAATTTTATTGTCAGTATTAGTCATACACATATACGGTCAGTCATGAATGTCATTAATAACTGACCGTGTAGGGGAGCCTTTAGATAGTAAATTGTTAGGTTCATGTTTTGAACTTTGTTCAGATCTAATATTATAATATAATAAAAGCATAAGAGTTATGCTGCGTGTATAGTATGTCATACTGTTATTATATCTCCTTATTACGTATTGAGTACACCCAATAAGCAATAGTCATCCGACACCGTTTTGAAGCCATTCAAATACATGCATTTCTGGATAGACATGTTATAAACTTTAGTATACTTTTTATATTCGAACATTACTATTGATGGTTCATATTGTAAGAGATTTATAATAAAATGGAAAATATACCAGGACCAAGTACTCCTTCTGAACCCACTGTAAACATTCAAAAACCATTGAATAATTCTTCAGTGACACAAGTATTTCATAAATATCTATTACCATTAATAATTTAATTTGTTTTGTACACTTCTTTATTAATGATGTGCACGTTAAATGATTTTCTAGGGTATTTTAGCTGTTATATCATTATTACCATGTGTTATTTCTGGAGCCGTTTTGGGTTATACAGGCTTATCGATATGGGATTTGCCATTAATATATCGAAATGCAACGTGGTTTGGTAAGATTTTAACTTAATATAATATAGTACCTATATAAAATATGTAATCAAATTAAATACGATTTGATTTAATAGGTTTGTAAATGGTAAAACAAGTACATTAATCGAAAATTAGTTCGTTTTCATATTCGTAATTTTATGTCAATGCATTCGAACTTAGTTAACTTTATAAATCTATAATTTATTATATTCCTATTGTTCAATGTTAACAAATAATCAGTGGCGGACTGAAGGGGTCAAGTATGACGCAGCTGCGTCACCTTTTTATTGGGGGTGGTACCATCCGGCACCCCGTCTTAGTGGCGATGGTGTGGAATTACATGGTAACTTTTTATAAGTAAATAATGTATACTAAACTTTTACAGCATATTCTACTAATTTGATATTGACGGTACACATTGTAAATTGTAATATATTAATTATTATAACCTAAACAGTATCTACATATAAACAGGACCTAATACATAATTGTAGAAAGTATAATATTATTTGTATCATAATACGAGTAAATTTGAAAACCGAGAGGTGGAGGATAGCCCTATGGATTTGTGAGGTCTGACATTAGGTTCAAGGCCGTACCTGTGGGGGTTCAACCCTCTCCCCCACCCGAAATTTTCTAGCATTTTATACAAACTTAGAAATTTAACATCAGTTTTTTTTTAATATAATATTTTAATTTTTTAAAGTATCCTCCCTACTCACCGAAAATTTGTTCTGGGTACAGCCTTGATAAGGGGGTGGTGGTATATATTTAAATATGAAATTGCGTCATTTAAAATTTAAGTTCAGTCCGCCACTGCAAATAATTATACATTTTTGTGGGTTTTTAGATTTAAAAATATTACATGTGTATTCCATTCAAAAACGTAATTTATGAAAATTCAATTTGATCCAAACTGATAAAGTAACGACATTACTTTTGAAAAACATTACGTCATAGTATCATTGCATATTACATAACTATAGTATTACATTATTTGTATTAACTGCCTGTATTATTTTAACAGTATAACTTCCTATTTAAATCTTATATATTTAAAATAATATGTTTTGTACAAATGTACATTGATTTATTATTAACAATAAAAAATAGAAACAAATTTAAATGAAATTAGTTCAAACCGAACGGGATGTTGTAACTTGTGAGCTTTCACCCGTTTAAACAATAATACAAATATTAACAATTTTACTATGAAACAATTGAAATGATTAAATTATTTATTTTTATTTTATAAGAAGATATGAAAATTCGAGTATGCATTTATTTCTAGATAAAATTATTTTAATTTTTGGTTTTACTATCAGTGATGTAATAATTATGTCGTTGAATTAAGTAATTTGATTTAATTTAATAAAATCGTTGATTATTCCATGTATTGACGTAGTTAAGCTAGAAATATATCTGTTTGTAAAAATTTTTATTTTCTAAAATACTTTTTTCAAACGGCACCAATAAATTAAATGAAAATCCTTTAATTTAGAATTAAAACTAATTTTTATTGGACACAATATTTTGTAATTTTGTTATTAGTGCTTTTCGAAATGAAATAATTAATCCTGTATGTAATATAAGATACATACGAGAGTGTTCTCTTTTATATTTCGATGCAAAATGAAATATTTAATTATATTGTCATAAAATATTAGATAGGTACCTACCGGAAGGTTTTTACTTATATAATTTTAACCACGGGCAATTCGATTGCTTTTCGGTAGAAGAACGTTAGTACGTCAAAAAAGAGCGTATCCAAAATTCTTTTCACCCTCCAAATACAACAAGAAAACCGTGATAACATTGATGTGGGTGTAGTTTAAAATAAAAAGTAGTCGGGGGTACTTAGCTATGATTTTTGTTCTTTCTATAAAATGCACTGTATAGGAATTTAGACGTTTTCTATTTCCAACGTATCGATCGATCAATCGATGCGATAAGGATTTTGAAAACTGATTTAAATTCGTCGTTAAGTCTTCTTTAGATCGATTTTCCCACTTTTTTTGATTTTATCTCCCAAAATTTCACAAAATAGGATTAAATAAATTGGAAACATAAAAATTAACAAAAATTAATTTTTAGATATGTTATGTACAAAATTTAAGAAATGTAAGAAAGTCGATCTAAAGAAGACTTTACGACGAATTCAAATCATTTTTCAAAATCTTTATCCTTAGATCGATCGGTACGTTGGAAATAGAAAACGTTTAAGTTTCTATATTGCACGTGTTTTGATGATAGAAAAAGAAAGAAAATCATGGCTTGCAATCCCCTTAAAGACGGTTATTGGTTCTAGTCTAAATTAACTAGTAGAATACACATCATGTATTTGTAATGTCTGTTCGCAGCTAGTCTGGCCTTTCTGGGCGCCGCAGCGGGCTGCCTGGTCTCGCAAAGCTTGATCACCGCGTTCGGCCCCCGGGGCACCATTCTTCTGAGTCACGTGATTTGCGTCATTGGCTGGGTGATGACCATCAGCAGCCTGTCCGTCATCAATCTCCTGACGGGCCGTGCGTTGACCGGCATGTACGTGGGCATCGTTTCGGTGTCAGCCACCACCTACAGCTCCGAGTGTTTCCCGTCACGGTCCGCGGCCAGGCCCGTCGTGTATACGGCGCTAGGAGTACTTTGCGTCTACCTGGCCGGCTCCTTGCTCAGTTACTCGCAGACCGCGACCATAATAGCGCTGACCACCGTCGCTTCGTTTGTGTTGGTCCGCCTGTTCGTTCCCGAGAGCCCTGCGTGGCTGGAGTCCCGGGGCAGGGTCGGCGACGCCGAGTACTCCAAGCTCAGGTTGAAAGTGGCCACCGCCGGTGCGTCAGCCACTGCCGTTCCCAGCCCGTCATTCTTCAGGCACATCAACCGACCGGACGTTTACCGGCCGTTCCTGGCGCTCTGTTTGCATCTGGTATTGCAACAGCTGTCCGGCCCTCTGGTGATCATCTCGTACGCCGCCGAGCTGGTGGGCGACTCGGGGATCCGCGTGCTCAACTCGTACTTCATAGCCATCGTACTGGCCGCGTTCCTCGTGATCGGCAGTTTTGTGTCCACCGCCATGGACCATCGGGAATCCACCACCATACTGTCGTCCACCGGCATAATGGTGGCCGGTCTCGTGATCGCCGCGTACAATCTGGGCCGCAGGCTGTTCCTCAACCGCCTGGGCTCGCAGCTGTTGAGTTTCATACCGCTAATGGGATTGATAATGTTCATCATGTCCAGCAGCGTCGCGTTGGTGCCCAACTTGCCCGTGAAGAACACGCCCGGCGAGCACGTCGCGCTCGCGTTCAGCTACGTAGTCGCCTTTTCGGTCATCAAGAGTTATCCGTACGTGCACGCGTACCTGGGCTGGTGGGTGTTTGCGTTTTTCGCCGTCGCAGCCGCTTTGAACGTTGTTTACGACGTACTGATGTTCTCGGAACCCAAATCATCCAATCGTTCCGCAGCCGCCGCTTCCACACAGTCGTCGTCCGTCGGACCGGCGGTATAATGTCCATGTCCTTCGGTTGCTATCTGTTACGATCATTTCGCTGTACACACCACAAACTCGGCGAGCTAATTATGTAACGATTCCGATCGCATACACGGAACCATGAATACAATTTACCGTATAATTATAGCGAGCACATGCGCACGTTGTGCTTAGAATATTGTATAACTCGTATTCATATTAATCATTATTGTTACGATTTAAAAGGATTGTTTTGTACACACGGTTTTTCATACGATATTTTTCTGACATATGTTTTAAATAATTATAAAACTAGTTTCTAGTGATAAATTTCATAAATAAACTGTAATTTGAACTGTTTGTTTTAATGATTGTGCCTATGGCCATATACGATATAACGTTTATGAACAATCATACTCCCAATGTAATTCTATTATTGATTTAAAATTAAATTTTTATTTTTATTTTATCCACTGCTACACATATTTAATTAAATTTAACATTATGTTATACGGTTAAATTATTTTCAGGAGTTCCTTACATAATTAAGTTTAACCTTAATGGTTTAAAAAATAAAATGTTTAATACAATACAAATCAATCAGATATTTAAACATTAACTATACATTTATTTATATTTTCTCGTAAGTTGAATCTTATACATATTTTCCAAAAAAGAAATGGTCAATTCTTTTAATTTTTCGTTGTAAATCATCCATGTTATTTTTAATTAAATATTCCATAGTATAAGGGTTTTTATTGTTTTCTTCCTGCCATTTTTTTTTGGCTTCATCGAAATTCAAAATATCTTGGCTGACAGCTTTAGCTTCAAATGGGAGTTTAGCTGCAATTTTACTTAAAATGTCTTTTACCTGTAATACAACAAATTACTTAAGTTAATTTTTGTGCACTTAATTTAAATTATACACAAATAATATTTAATAATGGTCAATTCATTGATATTTTAAATGATTATCTACAAAATAAATATATACTAAAAATTCATACTTCTATGTATTCACAATGACCTGCAACTTCAATTATAATTCTGCCAGATCTTATGGGAGTTATGTAATGATCAATACTACCTTTTCCACCACCCATCCGCTGTCCTTGACCCTGGTAAAATATACATTTTAAAAATATTTCTACACATTTCATTTGAATTTACCTTTTTAGTGACAGCTTGCCATGGTGAATCAATTCTCCAAATAGCAAACATTCTAGACCAATCTAATTTTTTTAATAATCCCATACGAATAATTTCAAAATGTATAAATCTCATTTGGCCTCCCCCAGTTGCCTAATAAAAAAAAATCAAATTCAATATTAAATCTTAAAACAATTATTTTATTAAGCTAATTTACTATTTCTTTTAGAATTCAACACAATTCATACAATTCATTTTCATTTACTTATGAATTTAAAATTGTATAAGCATATTCAGATAACTAATAAGTTGCCATATGATTTTACCTGGATACCATACTGTTTATGAATAAGTTTATTGTGGACTAATTCAGGCCCTCTCATTAAACCCAACATTTTATGCATTTTTGGAGGTCTAATATTGCTATTAGAATAATTTGGTACCCTATCAATGTAATGGAGTTTAGGTCTTTCAGGCATCTGAATGTCTGAAATTGGAATAAATATGATTATCAATATGATTCTGATTCTAAAACTTATACAAATGGTTTAGTTACGATCATATGTTATCGGAGGTTTGAAGTACTTAAGGCCTCGGATATCATTAAATAGTGGGAAGTGTACAGTACCTATAATATAAACGAAATATAAATATTAATAAAATAAAACTAATTTCTTTAAACTTACACCCAGTTATTTGGTTGGTTGAACCACGAGAAAACTTAAAAAAAGTTTGCAATGCCATTTTCAAAAATTAAAATTAATAAAACCTAAGAAAACTATTAGAAATTGTTATATTAAAATATAAAAACAGATTATGATACTCTGACAAAATAATTCATAATTATAGATTTTCATAAACGATGTACCACAACACGGTTGTAGATCTTTTAAGACCGTATTCACAATAAACTTAGTCTTATCTTGATCCGAATTATCTATTGGCATTATCATTTCTTTACACTTAGAGCATAGATATCAGTATTATAGCGTCTTTGAAATATTTGTAGCTTATCAACACGATGATTTTGATAAGAAATTTCGTTAATTTTTTTTAAATTGAAAATAAATTGAACTACGTAATATAGTGTAATAAGTAAAATTAATCAATTATTTTCAAATTATCTTCATATTTAATAAAAATGTATAGTTCATACTACCTTTTAAGTGTTAATGGATATAATCGATAAACTGTGTTTCACTTCGAATTTGATATTCTCGGTTTATTTTTGTTTACATTTTTTAATTATTATATTACTAAATAATTATATAACATTTAATATAAAAAGAAACAGATTTATACAGTTTAAAAATGACAATGTAAAAAAAAATTTTCAATTGTATTACCAATTTTTATTGAAATTGAAAATAAAAATATTTTTTTTTCTTTTCAGGGAAAGATACAGTGATGGTGATTTAGCAGTTAATTCAGTAGCTGCTGATGATATATCCTATAGTTTGGTTAATTATTCAGATATATCCTATGACCAAACAAATAATGTTACAGATTGGTATTTTCCTGTGATTGACTTATGTGAAGATGGAAGATGGTTATTATTTGAAGATAAATTGGAATTAAATGATTCATGTATTTCAGAAATTTGTTATATTTTTAAAAAAAAACTTTCATGTGAGTTTCAAACTGAAATATTTTTACAACATCCATTGGTTATTAAGGTAGTTAAAATTATATGTTTAAATCAGTATTTATTTAAATGTATTACTTATTGTAATTTTTTAAATTTATTTCTAGAAATTAATTAAATGGCTGAATGAAAATAAAGAAACTGAATTAATTTTGGAATGTTTAAATTATTTTGTTGAAAAATTAGTAAAACGTCATTTTGAATTTACTTCCGGTTTATGTGTAAGTATACAACTTCTCTCCCTTCTCATTTATATATTTATAAATATGTATAATTATTTATTGTCAACAGTCTTGAATTATTTATATTCAATTTTTATTTTTATTATTTATTAAATATTTATTTTTCATTATTATTATCCATGAACCTATAAACTAAACTAGTTAATAGGTCTATGGTGTAATCTACTATTAATAATATTACGTAGCGTATCTTGGTCTGATGATTCACACATTCATATTCTTAAAAAGTGATTATTAATAGTTAATAAAAGTGACATAAACCCTTTTGCCTTTCATAAAAAATAAAAGTTAAGCCATAGAACTATATTCATAGCGATGAGTAAAAATTCTACACTGTCTTATACATAAAAGGTTTTTTTAATTTTGATAAAACTATTAATTATATTAAATATTCCACCAACTCCCAAACTGAGAAAAATTACTTAAAAAATGTAAAATATATGAATCGATAGAGTTAGTCATCTTAAAAAATCATCTTCAAGAAGAATGGTTTAAATCTATTTATGGACATATTATATTTTTTTAATTATTTATTATTAAGTTTTTAAGTTTAACGTAAACAATTCTTATAAAAAATTAAGTTGTTTATTTTATTGAATTTAATGCCTATAATGTATGTCTTTGTCAGTAATTAATTTTATGATAAATCTGAAACTTTTGAAACAAATTATTCATTAAATGTACGTGTATTAAGAAGATAAGAAAAGAAAAGATAGTACAATTTCTTTTTTTAATTTCATATATATTTTCCATTTAGATTTTTGATAGATTCTAATAGAATGTTGTATAATATGCCTATTAAAATAGAAATATACATAAATGTGCCAAATAAGATTTCACATATTTCACTGTAGTACCTTGAAATGGATTTCTATGTCATCTTGCATTAAATACAGCTTTACAAGATTGATATGCAAATCCATGAATTTACGAGCCCTGGTTATAACCATGATATTTTAATAATTTATTTTACAATAAAAAAATCAGATGGTATTATCTTTTAAACCTATGCATCCTAATTTCATTTTAACTTTTATATATATATTAATACTTATATTTTAAAAATAAATTTATAATACTTTTAAGTATTTGCCAATTTAATTACATACTATAACAATTAATTTTATAAAATCTTAAAATTAATACTTTAACTGAATCTCAGATAACACGGTCCGAAATGCTTCTGTGCATAAATTATTTTATTATTATTTTTATTCTTTAATATATAAAAATTATAAATGTAAATTTTGAATTTATTAATTTTTTTTTTTTTTAGGAAAATGTTGAAATTGTTGACAATAGTTCTAGTTCCAACTCTCAAATAACAACAGGGACTAATAGTGAGACTACAACCAATGTAAATTTTTATTAATTTTTCATAGAATATTAATTTAATATTTAATTTGTAATATTATTCTATATAATAATTAACTCATATAAATTTTATTTACTTATAAATGTATGATTAATTTTGTATCTTAAGAATGGAATTTCACGTTGGGGTATTGCCAAATTTTGTGCTTCATTGATGCCCACCTTAATGAAACATATTGTCTATAATTGCAGTGAAGCTTTTTCATTATTTATATCTAGTATACATCTTTTATCATCAATAGCTGGTAGTTGTAATATTACATTCTACCTAGAATTAATAATTTCTAATTGTATGATTAAACATACGTTACCGTAAGTATTTTTAAGAATATTAATTTTATCAAATATCATATTTCATTAAATATATTTACAATTGGTGATTTAGAAATGAACCCTCATCTTCACTGATGTTTCTCATTATTGCTAAGAAATTATTACCATATAGCATATCTAATGAACAGTTCAAAGAAGTCATTTTAAATATACTTAAACAACCATACTGGATTCATCTGTATCCCGATTTGTACCATCAACTTTATATAAAAATTATTAATGTAAGTGATTAATAACTAAAATTAATAGTTTTCATAGAATTAATATAAAAATATAGTTTATTAAATTTTATATGATTTATGTAAACTTGCTATGTTTTAGGAAGAACTATTAGAAAAAAAAATTATCAAAATGGTTGAAAATGTTTATACTTTATTATTTTCTTGTAACTTAGATATAAAACAATATGGACATCTACTTAACACCTCAATGCCTATTATATGGTTTCATCAAAAGTTTAATATAATTGATAAATTTATTGGAGATGTATGTAAATATGCGTAAGTATTAAGCGTCAAATTATAAATTTTCTTTTATTGATATTTTTATTATTAGTACATTATGTATTTAATGGCACAATAATTTTCTTGAATTTTACATACATATAGTTTTTTTATTTTCTTATTTACTTTAGAATTATTCTAATATACTTTAGAATCTAATTGTTTTTATTATTGTTATTATTTTTTCAGCAATTTAACTGATCCTTATAGAAATGAATACAGTAACATTTTGTTAAATTTACTTTCTTATAAATCATTAGATGTTGTAATTCATACATATTCAGCACTCAATAAAACAGTAAAATCCATATTGAATAATTTTCACTCCCAATCAAACAAAATTAGTCGGTTATTAGAACATTTATTGTGTACCAAAGTATTAAATGAGATTGTATGTTCTGGCTGTGCTAATTCTAATGAACAGGTGTGTAAGCTTTTATATTCTTTAATCTAAATAAACTAATTATTTTTATATATAGATATGTCAGTTAGCATCAGAAGTTATAGAATTATTATTGAACTGCAAAAATACTGTAAAAATTGATCAATGGAAAAAATTTTTGAGTAATTTAGTTCCAGTCTTGCCAGTTTTAAACTGTTATGCTAATCAAACATCCACTTTTGGTCAAATTATTTTTAATTTGTTTCATCCTGATCAAGCAGAAGAGCTTAATATTTCAAACCTAATGGTTTGTTTTATGCTTTGACTACATTTATGATAATTTTATGACTACTTTTATACATTCTCATTTATAAGTATATTTAAATTGCATACTTCCTATTGTGGTAATTTTGATCTGTGTTACTTATTAAATCAAGTACTAGATGTTAATTTAGATTTTATTTGAAATGTACTAATGTTATCTTAAACTTTCTCTTTTATTATTTAGTAAACTTAACATTTATTTTTTAGTTACTTCATTCTATAATCATAATGTTGTTGAGCAAAGACAAGAAATGTCGAATTGAAGCAAATAATAGATTAACATGGTTTTTACAAACAATGCTAAATAAAAGTATTGATCTTCCTAATGACATTTTTGTAATTGAATTTGATGATTTGAGTGAAAAATTAGAAGAACCCATTGGAGAATATAGTGTATGTATTTTATTATCTTTTTAATACTGTAATCTTAATGATTTTGTGTGCTTTTAGACAAATGATTTAGATGATATGATTGATTTAATCGAGAATAATTCAAGTCATCAAATCATTAAATGTGCTTTGTATAAAGTATCTGTAATGCTTGAATATAATCATCTTCAACAACATTTTATACATAATAGAGGGATTAATATTATACTAAATTTACTTAAATCAACAAAAGTACATTTTTGTTTTTTATAAATAGTATTTTTTAAGTTTTTGATTTATATTGTTTATTATTTTTACAGTTATTTGTAAATGAACGGGGTTTATTAATTGCTTTATTAAAATTAATTTTATGTTTCACAAAAAAAAAAAAATTCACATCAAATGAAAATGATTTACTAGCAAATAATTTTGATATCCAACTACAATTAATCTCAGGTATATAAAATAAATATACTTATAGTTATTTTTATTGAATTATAATAAACTATTATGTTTATATTGCAGTGTTATCAGATTTTTATGACATTCCACTTGTAAAACAATATATTTTACAAATTTTGTTTTTCTGTATTTTTAACCAATATTTAACTAAATTTAATAAAATGCCCTCATTAGTTGTTTGTAAAATATATATTCCAATTCAAATTGACAAGTACTGGAATTCAAATAATAATTACACTGATGTATCATTATTTTCAAGTAAAAAATAAAAATAATTAATAGTTTCATCTATAATAATATATTTTTATACCTACCTACTCTTATATTTTAGAAATTAAAGAGAGCAAAAGTTGTATGGATGTTTTAATATTAACATGGAATTTGAAGCAATTCGATAATACTGAATTGTTTTTGGAAAATGGTCTTGACACAAGTACACAGAGCTCATTATTTCATGAAGTCTTCTATAATTTTAGAAAAGCTTGTATTAAATGGTCTGTCAAAAAGTATTTGATTGACTTAATTGCAGCAAATTCGCATCCAGTTGCATTATTTATTCTTGGTGATTTGAAAAGGTAATATTTAAATTAATTTTTATGGCTAATGTAGTAATAAATATTTAAACTTTTACTTTATCTATTATTTAAAACAGTATATTATAATAAAGTTATATTCGTATAGTTTTTCATATAATTTAAATATTTTATTTTATTGTCCTTAGTATAATTAAGATTTAAGAATGCAAATTTATACAGTGATAATTTATTCATAACATTTTAAATACCTATTTGATTTATACTTATAAAAATTAATTATTTTTGATTGTCATTGTCTTAGGATTTTGAGTATTTTATAATATGTAAAGGTTTCACTTTTATTTTTCTGATTTTTCAGATATGTCTTAAATTCTATCCCCATTAAACATTATAATAAAATATTATTAATTAACTGAATAATAATTTTCTTCTAAATTGTAGAAAAAAGTATACAATTTCAATATAGTTTTTGACCATTTATATAAATTTCACATTCAAAATTCATATTTTCTATGGTTCAATATAAAACAATAACTTGTAAATATTTTAAATTATTTATATGTGATGAGACTAAAAATTATAATATCCATCAACATATTACTAAATTTAACCCATATAATCGAATAGTCGAAATAATCTATTACATAGTTCAAACCAGATTGTATAATCGGCATGCCTAATTACCTAATTAATTATTATTGTTCACAGTATTTACCCATTAAATTATTATTTATCTCATCACAGTAACAAGTTAAACTGTTATAAACATTGTACTTTACCTACACTGTGTTTGTTACATAACTTAACATATAACCATTGGTTATAAATATTATATTTATAATCAATGATATAACCTTTATTTATTACTAAACTAACATGTGGTTGTTTAATTATTATCAATTGTTACCTCATCATACAAATTTCGTTTTTTACATATCATTCCTTATCTCTAGTAGATGGTCAAAGTCGAAGTTTGAAGTCCGTATGACTTTGAAAACTTAAGATTAATATTCATTAAGTGATTTCCAGTGTTTGATTTTATATGTGATCATTACTCTCTGTTTTTAATATTCTGTTTTTAGAAAGTAATTACAAGTTATTTTTTTTAAATATTCAAAGATTTTTATGATTATTTAACGTTATAAAACTTACATTATATATTTTTAAAAATGGCAGTTTTTCTAAAATCATCGATGTCTAAAACAAAATTGGTGTTTTCTTTAACTAAAATATTAACACCTATTTCTTCAATGAAAATGTCAACGAGTAACCTTGAATATATAATTACTAAAAAAGTTGGTGAGAAAAATAATATTGGTCTAGTTCAACTTAATCGCCCCAAAGCTTTAAATGCTTTGTGTGATGGTTTGGTCACTGAACTCACTGAAGCGGTGTCTGCTTATGATGCAGATGATAAAGTTGGAGCTATAATTGTAACAGGTAGTGAACGCGCATTTGCTGCTGGTGCTGATATCAAAGAAATGCTTAACCAGACTTATTCATCAAACTTAAAAACTGGTTTACTACAGCAATGGGACAATTTGAGCAAATGCAAGAAACCAATTATTGCTGCTGTGAATGGTTTTGCTCTAGGGGGAGGTTGTGAACTAGCAATGATGTGTGATATAATTTATGCAGGAGAAAAAGCTAAATTTGGACAACCTGAAATAATAATTGGTACCATACCTGGAGCTGGTGGTACTCAACGCATGATTCGTTCTTGTGGTAAAAGCTTTGCAATGGAAGTATGTTTGTCTGGTAATCAAATCACTGCTCAAGAAGCCTTAATGAGAGGATTAGTTAGTAAGGTATTTCCACCTGAAAAATTAGTTGAAGAGGCTATTAAATTAGCAGAAAAAATTAGTGAACATTCACCATTAATTGTTGCTTTATGCAAAGAATCTGTAAATCATGCATATGAATCAACTTTAAGCCAGGGTTTAAAATTTGAGAAAAAATTATTCTATGGCACTTTTGCAACTGACGATCGAAAGGAAGGAATGGCAGCATTCGTTGAAAAGAGAAAACCAAATTTCACTAATAATTAAAGTGTAATGCCATTATTATAAAAAATTCAAGCTTTTACTTTATGTAATTGGTTTAAAATATTGTGATTTTTTTATATGGAATAAATTTATTATATTTGTTATAAAAAATTATTGTTAAGTTTTTTTATTTCAAAACATCTAAATTGACTTTTTAGATTTTCCTAAAGCTCATGTTATTAATGGAAATAGGTAGTAGGAACTTAGAATAATCTTAATTTGATTATATTTTATTTTTATAAAGTATAATAGTCAAGTTCTTTTTTTATAATTATACATGTTAATAATTGAAGTATACTAAATTTAATGTAAGTGAAACAATGTCATACAACAATTTAATCTTTGTGAAATATTAAGTGATATCTAAATAATAAACAAATCAAAATTTTTTTTAGTATACATATTATTTTTCTATCTATTAGCTCTTACATATATATATTTAAAGTGCATTATCAAATATTAAATATTTTGAAGAAATTTATTTTAGGATAATTCTTTAGTGAGTTAAGGTTAAACCATATATTTTAAATTCTAGGATTTAAGTCTTTTTGGAAAGACTAGGTAACAATTATTTAAATAGTTATTTCATTAAACAAGTGCACATATTTTTATTTAAAATACATCTTAATTATATTGATTAATTCATTCATATTTTACAAATAATAATTTTTAGGTACTTAGAATTAAGTGTACATATTAAGAAATTCGATGTCGATGAAGAATTATTAGAAAATGCATTGCGAAAATTTTTGGTATTGCCTCCAATTATGTTAAGTGATTTACAAACATTAATTGTTGTCATGAAGTTATTGCATTTTGTTTTACAAAAAAGTATGTATATTCACTTAAAAACTAAAATATTATGTAGTAGAATTCTTAATTTTTTTCTTAAAAAAAAAAATGAACTACATTTAGTTCTTATTAAGTCAAAGAACTTCCTTTATATTTTTGTTACATTATTAGTTGATATATTCCATAAAATGTGTCTATTATTTTTAGTGATTTATAACACTGTTAATACTAATTTGCATCATATTGATGATATTTTTAGGAGTATTAATTAGTAAATTTCATTGGGTTCCTGATTTATTAATGAAATCAAAATTTATGCATCATAATATGGCTGATAATTTTAATAATGATGACATTTCAAACCAGTTGGTCTGTATAAAATGAGTAATTATTTCTTGTAATCATTATAATTTTAAATTTAAATTTTTTTTTATTTTCAGTGCAATCAATTTTTTGTTGAGCTTTATGAAGTTTATTGGCTTTGTTTAAAAAACTACAGTCATTTTTGCACATTAGATTTAACAAAGTTGTTATTTAATCAATTACCATCTATGAAAAATGAATTTGGTACAAGAATATGCATTACTAACAATTTAATTTATATTAATATCTAGTAAATCATGTTATGACATAATAACTATGCATCAACATTTTTTTATATCCAATAAAAATAATATTTTACAATGCAATTTTTTACAATGCAATTTTTACAATTAATCATAAAATTAAATTGGTAATTTTTTCCTTGTAAATTTTTCAAACCATAATTTTTGACTCAATAAGCAAATTTAATTATTGCAATTTTGATTGCATTTAATTATTTTAAATGTTAACCATTTCATTACTATTCATAAATAATTCATATATGTGGCTTATAACTATGTCATATTAAACTTATCATTTTTACTTATAATTTTGTATTTCATCATTTTTAAATAAAAAAGATAATTCAAAGGCATTACAATTTTTTATTCTAAGTTGCGTGAGATAGTGAGTTGTAATTGAAGAAATGTTGGTGTAACTTCCTCATAAATGTTGTATAGTTATTATATTAATGATGTGTATATTTAATAAATAAATTTATGATTTATGTTATTGTGCAATTGCTTTTATTTTATATATATATTTTCAGTTTTATTACAAGTTAACTTGAAGTGTTTAACTTTATTAACAGAAAATCAGAAAAATATAGATATAGATCTTGTAAAATTGTTTTTATCTCAACTTATTCCATTAAAAACAATTTTGATGAATAGTTATAATGAAAAAAATGTGCAAAGAAGTTATTTAATTATTTTGAACCACATTCTTCACCATACAATTTTAGTACCAAATGTATAATAAACAAATTTTTTTTTCATATTCTTGTATTTACAATAATTTTTATTATTATTCTAATTTACTAGATTTATGAGGTTTGGTGTTTATATGATTGGGAAACATGGACATGGTCAATGATACACAGTACTGATCCATTAGTGCGTGCTTTAATCTTCCAATTTTCAGCGGGTTTGGCTGTTATTGATATTTCAGTATCACATAATTTAATTAATCTTGCATTAAAGTAATGTTTTTTTATGTTAAAAAATATATACCAACAAACCAAATACTTATTGAAACATTTTATTAATTAATTAAAATTTGTTTTTTTAGCTATTTTTGTGAAATTCATTGTTTGGAAAATTGTATTGTTGCTGAACAGGCAACTATATTTTGCTCAAATGTTTTTTGTAATCCCAAGTTCAAAGTAATATTTAAAATATATTTAATTAATTAACATACTTATTTAATAGTTACATACTACTTTTTTCCAGGATGCATGCCATAAATATATTAATAAACTGGATTTTAACACTTTTATTTACTTTATTAATTTGTGTTCATATGATGATTTTAACAAATTTGGTAACATTTTAATATATTTTATTAAATTTATATAGTAGTGAACATATGTTTTTTTTTATAGAAAAAAGTAAATTTTCAACATCTCCAAAACTTGTTGCAAATATATGCTGTATGCTTTTTAATATGATTACATTAACCGGAATAGATCTACAAAAATTTGATCAAAATAGTCAATTTTTACATTCACTAATTATGTATGTATTTAATTTTTAATAATTCTTTGGTACTAAGTTAATGTTTTCTTTTTTGTAAATAGTATTCTGCTAAATATAAAAAAAAAAAAGTAACTATATAATTTTACATTTCGCTTTTATATAAAATAAATTAAAGGTAAAAATGAATGTATTAATTATCATTATAATTTATGTTTTAATTCTTTACTGTTTTGTATTATTCTATTCCAACTTAATTTGTTCTGGAGTGTTTTTTATCAAAACCTATTTGTTAAATCTGTTTATCAGTATTTAAAATTTTCTTTCATCTTGTTATGTTATGGCTTATATAATTTTTGAAAAGTAGTATAAATATACTATTATTAAATATTGATTATATAACTAAATATTTCATGACGAATTTTACAATATTTTTAATTGTATATTAATTAAATTGATTATTGTATTTCAGATGTTTAAAAAAAAAATTAACCCCTGTATGCATTGAAGAACCCAATATCATGGAAATGTGTGGTCGCATTTGTTCAATTCTTACATTATTTATTCCTTATAGCAATTATAGTTTTGAAAATGTATTAACCTCTTTAAACATAATTTATGAAAGAATTGATATCAAATTAGGTAAAAAGAATACATCATAAGTTATAATTTATCTTGTTCGCTAATTGTTTATAATTTAAATATTAACATTGTATTTTAGATCATTGTACAATAATGGTATGGCGATCATTGTTTAAACTAACAACCACAATCATACAGTATACAAATAATCAGACTTTTATTGTAACAAATTATTTAATATCTGCATTATTAAAAAGTATAACTTCCATAAATAATGATCTTAGTATAGATGCATTAAATGTTGTTGCTGCATTATGTTCACTATTTTCTAAACGTAAGTTAATTATTGATATTATATTAATTTTTACTGATAAATCTCTTTTTCCAGAAGAAGATTATAAAAAAATCTATTTTCATATTAGATTTAAAATTAAAAAAATCAATTAAATTTTCTTGAAAATGTTTGAAATGTATTTACAGTAATACATGTATAATAAAATCCTAGATAATACAAAAACCTATCTTAAATTAACATTTAGATTGATCCTGTTATACTGTGAAAAATTTTCACTCTATATAGTTTCAAGTTTAAATGTTTGGAATTTAAATTAATTAAATAAAATACAATAAATTAGTGATGGGAATAATCGAATGATTTTAATAATCCAAATAATGATACCAGACATATTTATCAATAGCAAATTAATTTAATTATTCGAAAAAATTGCATGTTATACTCATTTCCTATTGTGTACTGGTTTGTCCGTATTATATTATTATTTTTAATCATTGGTTTAATTCCTGGTATCGGTGATGATCACACTAATCGGTTTAATACGTATAAATATTTAGATTGAAAATGCATTTCACTTTCACGCTTATAAATAATCATTTGATTATTTATATAACCAGTTCAACTAGTTAAATCATGAATTATTCGATTATTTTTATTTCGTTTACTAATCATTTGATTATTTTATTTTCGACTACTAATCGTTCAATTTTTTTTTTTCAATTATTCCCATCAATACAATAAATAGTATCAACAATATGTACACAATATGTACACTATTTTTAGATTATTTTTTTTAATTATTCAAATTAAGAATCATCCCATAGGCGGATATCAGGGTGGCTTAGACCCCCCAAATTTTTTAATAGCCCCCTCAAAATTGAAACTTTGTTAGAAATTTTATTCGTTTTTTTTAATTTATTTTTAACTATTTGTTCATTTTTTTTTTAAATCGTTAAATAAGAAATAATAAAAAACTATTTACAATAGCATTAAAAATACTTATTACATAGTTAGGCTACTTGCGAAAGAAGTTTCAGTGCAATGAAAAAAATAAAAACTTGGTTGAGGACATTGTTGGTTCAAGATAGGTTCAACAATCTTTCAATACTATATATTGAAAAAGATATATCGAAAAATATAAAAAGCGATGATATTTTTAGTATCTTTGCTAATACTAATAGTTATTAAATAATTAAATAATAATAATAAATTAATTTAATATTTAATAGTCATTAAAATAAAATATTAATTATTTTTAAATATACGTTATTTAGTGTCTTTTTAATACAATTTAAACATAGGTATCTATATTTTTAATGGTAGGTAATAAGTTTTAATTGTGTACAGGAAGGAGGTGTGGGGGCGAAGCCCTTGCGGGTTATTTTACATTGAATTATTATAGCCTCCCCCCCCCAAAAAAAAAAAAATTCAACCAAATTTCCACCTATGAATCATCCTTTTTATATACTGAAAATTATATTCAAAAGATTAGATATTTTTAATGTTTATAATTAAATTTTTTGTTATTATTATATTAATATTGATGTTTAATTTAGAATCTGCTCTTTGTGTGTGTAAAGTTTTAATTGAAACATTAATTTCGGATTGGCATATTAAAAAAAAACGAACAATGTTATTAATTGCATTATCAAATGTATTGCTTGAGCATCCTTTTACATATGAAACAGCAAAAAAAGAAAATTTGTTATATTTTATAACTTCAAAATTAAAAATGATGTTGCTTCAAATAACTAAACAATCAAGCCAAAAATCTGTATGTATACTTATTCATATAAGTCTTAAAATTTGTTTTTAATACAAATATTGCTAACGTTTTAAATTATTATCATTTAATATTTTAGAAAACATTACTAAATCACTATTTGGAAATTGTGGGATTTTTTTGTAATATATTTCATGGATGTGTTCAAGCAAGAGAAGATGCGTCCTCAGAATTGCCAGATGTAATTCATAAACTCTGGTCTATTGTTATTTCTAATCCTAAATCAGATATATTAATTAATACAATGCAAATGCTTGTATCACTTACATCAAACTGTCCATCTGGTAAGTATTATTTTGGCTACCATAATTTTTTCTTTACTTTATTTATATTTTACATTTTAAATCCGTGTTTATTAACATTAACAAAGTAATTTAGATATTAAACATAATAATCTAGAATAAATGGAATTAAATAATTTAAACTATATATTTTAAAATATATTATAAGTACATTGCAATAACATAACTAAATGTGATTATTTTAAAATTGTAATTCTTATATTTAGCATGCAGTGCAATGACCATGACTAGTAGCACACTTGGAGTAGACCCTAAAACAAAAATTACTTCATACTCGTTATTTCATGATATTATTTCATTATTTAGCTATTTTACTTTGCATACAGAAATATTAAGTATTATGTTACTCTTAATAAGTAATTGCTGTCAATCTCAAGAATGCCGCGCAATCATTACAAAAGTATATAAAATTTTGATTTATTATAATTTATTTGTTATTAAGCATTGCATTTTTTTTTTTTTTTTTATTTATTTGTAGAGCAAATTATTATCTCATATTATATCAGTACCTAATCTTAAAGATAAAAAACGCTCTAATAAAATTGAACAAGAATGTTTAAATTTTTTATTAATCTTCACAAGTTACGACGAAGGACAAATACATCTCCTAAAAGTAAAAACAAATATCTTCATAAATAAATTACTTTACAATTTTTTTAAATTTTGTTTATTTACTTACTTTATTTTTTATTGCTTTTCTTTTTAATTACCAGGTTAATTATGTTTTGGACATTTTAGTAGATCTCCTCAAATCAAATTTTAAAAATGATTCTTTAGCTATTTTGAGAAACTTGTGTTTTAATGTACAAAATCGTGTTACTTTCTTATCATCAGGTAATTTTTTTTTTCATTATGTGTTATATTTATAAATAATTATATTTAAAATACATATTATTCTTTACAGATGTATTTTTAAATGGAATTAAATCAATGTTAGAAGAAGGAAATCTCTCGAACCAAAACTATAAAGATATTAGCTTATCCATGTGGTCAATTGCTTGCAATAATCAAAAAGCATGTTTAGAATTACGCCATTGGGGTATAGATAAGTATTTTGAGAAATGTGACTTGTCATTATGTAATGATGAAACTCGAATGATTATGAATTGTACATATAAAATTTTAAGAAGCAAATAATTAATTGTTTAATAGTATTTAAATTTATTTTACTTTGTTTATCTAAATATTCTTAAAATTTAAATTGAAGTATATTCCTATTTTTATTTTCTATTAGTGAATTATTTTATATATTTTATTCTTTTTATTTTATACATTTTTTATTTCAAAATAAAATATTATTATTTTTATTATATTGAAGACATGCTGTTACCTTTTTTTGTATTTATGTTAGGATCATTTTCTTTATTTTCATAAATATTACATACAATTAAATCCAGTAATGAACACAAGGAACAAACTGGGTATGTATTGAGTGAATCCCCTATAGCTTTTTGTATTTGTGGTTTTATAATTATTACTAAGTACTTTTAAAATAAAGTTAATTTAAATATTTCCTTTCTCTCAACCAAGTACTAGAAAATTGTAATTTATCCATATAACTAAGTTATACATTTTTCTATTGGTCATCTAGATAATTTAGTTGAAAATTATAATTGTATTTTATTATTAATTTTTTTTTTCTTATAGTGCTTACAAATTTTTTAGAATTTTAATTTAAAAAATAAAATGGGCAAATTTTTAGGTACTTTAAATTATTAGATTATTGACATTTTCATAATTATTAAACATACTGCCACTATTTTATTTTTCATATTTGGGAAAATGTAATAGGTATACATTCACCCACTGAGGTACTCTCCTAAAAAAAAATGTATTTTAACTACTTGGGTTAAATCCAAACTATTTTATTTTTAGATGTTTTGTACCAGGCACGAACATAGGAGAAATTATGGGTACACTCTTTTTCACCTGAAATATCAAAATAAAATGTTATAAAAAAATTACCTAACCTACACATTTAATAGGTATTTCAAATTTATAGGAATAACAAATAAAATACATACATATTATATTATATTATATAATGAGTAATACAGCTTATTTTTTTTTATATTTTTACAAAACCTCTCGAAATGTTTTCCTGTAATCGTCCTTATATTGTACACTTATTAGAAAATCAATATGTCAACAATTTTCTTTTACATAATTTTTTTTTTTTTTGTTATTTGCTCCAGCCTTTTTATGTAAGCTGTTGTAAAATTTAAAGGCTCTGTACAATAACCAGACAGCTCCATTTTTAGCAAAATTTGTATTAGTATTTCATTGCTTATATGTTCCTCTAAATGCTATCTATTCTTCAGCATTAAATTGGTCAACTAAAAATATTTTATTATTCTCCAATTTATCATTTTGCACAGCAGAAAAAAAAGCCAATGTTAGAAACAAATAAGTGATGATAATTTCTTAGAGATTTTTCTTTATTTATTTATTTTTTCAAATAACTAAATACCTTTTGGCATAATTTTTAAATTATAATTTTCTGATTCAATATGTATTTTTTCAATTTAATTTTTTGATATAATTTCCTATACTCAAAGTAATGGAGACTCTTATAAGTTTTCAATAGCTTTTATTAATACATTTCTTCTTTTAGTTATATTGTATAAAAGAACATCATTTGATTGTATTTGTTTTTGAAATCGTGAATACAAATAACCTAATCAACAAAAAAAAACATCATAGTTTTAATTTGTTGAGATTAGTTAGGTTTTAAAAAAATCTTCAAACTTTGTTTTACAATCATTTTCTAGTTTTTTTTTTTTTTTTTTCGAAAGTAAAGCTCTCAATTCAGATTTTTCAAAATCTTAATATGTTCATTAATAAATTATAAGTAAACTATCCATCTGTTAAATTACTTTGGAAGTGTATACATAGTTTTTTTTTTATTTAGAACTATTTTTTTTTACTTTTTAGTTCTAATTCCTAATTGGTGAAAGTAGGAGGCAATTGAAGAGCACATTTGAATAAGTTTATTTACCTAATGCACCTATTTCAGAAGTTTTTTTTTCTTAATCTTATGCATAGGTGTGCGCAGACTTGGTCCGCAGGGAGCCCCTTAAAAAAAGTGCACCAAAGATTCTTGTACTAAAGGCTACTAGTATAATTAAATATTTTAAATTTTATAAATTATTTATTTAATTCAAATATAAAAATTAATACTATTTAAACTTACACAATTTATATCTAAGAAATCCTTATTTACATATTATTATACTATTTACAACTACATCCTTCTGTCTACGGGAGTAAGGTTTTTGAATGTGTCAATTACATCTTTAATTTTTATATTATATGCAAGTTCTGATTAATAACTAATAACTTTATTACATTTATTCACATATATCAATTCTATACTAGAGCTCCTTATTTCACGTGCATACGTTTTCACGTGTTCACGTGAAATAAAGGTTCAATTTTTATAACCCGTTGCTTAAAATTTCACGTGTATTTATAATTTTATTCACGTGAATTCGTGAATTATTTTATTCACGTGAATTTGTGAATTATTATATTCACGTGAATCTGTGAATTATTATATTTACGTGAATCCGTGAATTGGATAATTACGTGAATACATGATTTTATATAATCCCATACCCAACTTTTTCTTTTCACCATTTTACGAGAAAACTTAAATTTTTTAATGAATACGATCACTTAATGATTGCACGCAAACTAAAAGCGTCGTACACTAAAGTGTTTAATATCATATTATCATCAAGATATCGATATAGTCACTACCTATCCGACTACCAGATAAGACACACGCAACGGGCACTACGAGTTCAATAAGTTCAATAAAGATAAATAAGCGCGAAGTTAATCAGTAAAATTATAAATACATTTTCAAATAAAATACAACTAAATAAACAGTACCTAAAATCGGTTTTTGTAATGCAATATATGACCACCATGTAGGCATTATTAACAAAGTTAACAAAATCTTTTTGTTCTATAAATGACTATTTTCTTTTACAATCAAGTTTTCGATAAATGCCTGTTCACGTGAATATACTAATTCACGTTTTTTCGTGAATATGATTCCGATACGTGTTCACGTGATTAAGCTTTGGTTAATTCACGTGTATTAACCATACGTGATTTATTTTGTTTCATTCACGTGATCACGGTATACGTGGACACGTACATTCATATTCATGTACAAAAACGAGACCCCTATTCTATACTATAAGATTAAAACTGGCTTTACTTTATTCATGTAAAATGTAAAAATGTTCGCTATCTTGTATAGTATAGATATACATTTATTAAAGAAAAAGCCAGAGTCCGCAAGTGAGACCCACCCGGCCACCCCCGTGCGCACGCCTATGATCTTATGCACTTTTATGAACTGTACACCAAATTTTGATAAACGAATCAATAATATTAAACATTTCATTTCGTTTTTGTTCAAAAATAAACTATACAATTTTTTTTACAACATTAAAATTCTCCATAGCTCTATATGTAACAATAGTTGGAATTAAAGATAAAACATTTTTCCAATCGTCAAATAGTTCAACAGCTTTTTTATAGCTTAAATATTGTTTATACATTCGAATTGAATTTCATATTATTTCGAACAATAAACTAAAATACAATATAAAACATTATATATGTGTACGTTTATAATACTGAGTACACACTTTGATTTTCAAAGTTTAGTGTCAGGGAACTCACTATTTTAAGCCCTACTATATTGTACCTATACATTTTTTTACTATCATTATATCTTAGGAAGTATCTCTATTTATATTAAGACATATCTCAAAATTTCAAATTTAAGAAACGAATGTTCTATATAGCGTTAAAAAACACGTCTAAAAACATCAGAAATTGGTTTTTTCTATATTTATTTTAGAACAACTGGGTATTTGGGTAAATTGTTATGTATCATTTATTTGTATAATATATATAATATATATATATATATATATATATATATATATTGGTATATATAAAAAATGTATGCTTACTAGGTATTATTTAGAATAACCGATAAGATTATAAATTTATAATTATAATATATAAGTACAGTAATTAATCTTTGGTGTTATTACATTAAATGTGTTTTTTTTTAATTTAACGCAAAGACATAGAGTAATAATTATCATTACATGTATGATAGAAGCGTGGAATAAATTATTTTTTAGTATACCGGTACGTTCATTATTTTAATTATTTTTGAAACAAAAATCATTAATCATTTAATATCATATTAACAAATCAATTTTACTGTAATCGTAATGTGTTAGTGTAGCATAATTATTGATTAAATGATCAATACCCAGTGATGCATTTAGAGGGAGAACAGAGGGGTTGATTATCCCAAGTGGCAATATTTTACAAGGTCAATATTCTGTAAATTAATCATATAAACTGAATCGAATTACATTTTATCAATAGTCTTTCGTGTCTCTGATCAACTCAGGGGCGGATTTAACAATTTTCCTTTCCTATGCAAAATTAAATTAGTCACTCCTATCTAGAAAAAATAACTTCTACGTTCAATATCCTTAAATAAAACTTTTCTCTCAATATCTGATATGCAATTTTTTTTCATTTAAGTTAATTAAAAAAAAATACGGATTCAATGTATTATCATTTTTTTTTTTTTTTTGTTTATTAAATGTTTTATTCAATCTGTTACAAAAAAGAACAATAAGAACAATTGAGGAAGTAAGAAGAAAAAAAAAATTAAATTATAACGAGGTAAATATAACAGAGCGTAGAAGCCTCCCAGTGGAGGTACTACATTAGCAAAAAAAAAAAAAAACATGAGTTTTAAAATTTAGTTATTCAGTAGGTTTCTACACCACTTGCGCTTTAGCCGTTTGGGAGGATTTCCAGGGATAGTCAAGGAAGAGATATCGTGCATGAGTGGGTTTCTATGATTTAAAAGACGGTTATGGAATCTTTTGTAGTGTATTTTTGCCACGTCTACAACAAGGGGTATGGAGAGGTCGTGATGAAGTGTGTGATTGGAAACGTAGAATGGTGCTTTAGTGATTTGTCTTAGAGTTTTGGATTGATAGGTTTGTATTCTATTGATGTTAGTAGGTTTTGCTGATCCCCAAAGCTGTATACCATAGACCCAAATTGGTTTAAGTAGCATTTTGTATAAGAGAAGTTTGTTATTCAGATTAATATGTTTGGAGGTCAGTAGGTGTCTTAGTTGGCGACTACGATCATTTAGCGTTAAACGTTTGGAGCGTATATGAGGAGTCCATGTGAGCCGGCGGTCTAGGGTTAGTCCAAGATATTTAACGTTTTGAGAGTAGGGTAGAGGTTGATTATTGAGGAAAAGTTGTGGACAGTCTCTGGGGCGTAGTGTAAAGGTAGAGTGGAGCGATTTTGTTTGGTTTAGTTTTAGGCCCCATACTGTGTACCATGAGGCTAGTAGGTCAAGATGGGTTTGCATATAGGAGGCAGCTATGTCTGGGTCAGAGTGGCATGCAAGTAGCGCTTTGTCGTCTGCAAAGTCGGCTACTATTGTGTTTTGAGTAGTGGGTTGATCCGCAGTGTAGATGTTAAAAAGGAGTGGAGCAATAACTGCACCTTGCGGGACACCAGCTTCTATTTTAGAAATATTTGAAAGAATTGTTCCTGAACGCACAGAGAAGTGGCGATCGCTGAGATATGATTTAATAAGTAGATACAAGTAAGGAGGGAAAAATGCTTTAATTTTGTGGAGGAGCCCTTGGTGCCAGACGCGATCAAATGCCTGTTCGACGTCCAGGAACACTCCTGTGCATATGAGCTTTTTTTCAAGAGATATCATATCTACAAGTCGGTGGATCTGATGTATTGTGGAGTGATTATGCCTGAACCCAAATTGAATATTGGGGAGGTTTTTTTCTATGATTGGTAGAAGACGTTTAAGAATCAGTTTTTCGAAAATTTTTGAAAAGTAGGGTAAGAGGCTGATTGGTCTATACGATTGAGGCATTTCTGCTGGTTTGCCTGGCTTATGGATCATTATTATTATAGAAAATTTCCAGAATAAAGGAAAGTAGGTGAGCCTTATCATAGAATTGTAAATAAAAGTGAGGAACAGTAACGCCTTTTTTGGGAGATGAACTGCAACTTCAGATGTGATTAATTCGTATCCGGGCGATTTGTGTTTCTGTGATTTTTTAATTTGGTATGCAACTTCGTGAGGAGATATATGTTTGGGTGGCATTTTCATAGGCAAAGGAGAGTCAAGGGATGTGTTTATTTCATCAACTTTGATGGGACTAAGTAGTGAGTAGTGTGGTTTAAAAGTCGATGAGAGGTGTTCGCGGAAAATGTCTGCCTTCTCTTCATCGCTTGTTGTCCAGGTACCGTCTGGATTTTTAAGAACATAGATTTGTTGTGGAGTTCTTAATATATTTTTTGTAGCTTTCCATATCGAGTTGTCTTTTGTGGTGATTGAGGAGAGATGTCTATTAAAACTCTCTATTCGAATTTCGGAGAGGGTGCGTTTTAGTTTTTGTGTAAGATTATTATAGTGGCGTTTGTCAGAGGGATACTGGGTTTTTTGCCAGATAGCTCTGGCGCGACGCTTGATAGCAATTAGATGTCTAACGTAGGTAGGGAGGTTTTGATTTGTGGATTTTGGTGGTATTGGAGTAGACGAAGACCAGGCAGCTGTTTGGATGGAAGTGGTAAACGAGTTAATTGCATCATCAATATCAGAGGGAGATTTAAGACGAGTTTTTAGATTTATTTGTTTATCTATAGTAAGTTGAAAGTGTTCCCAATTCATATGGCCATTCGTGAGGGACGGAGGGAGAGGTTTAATAGGTGGTAATGTGTCAATTGACAGCAGAACGGGGGAGTGGTCTGAGCAGGGTTCATTTAAGTTTGTTATATGACAGTTAAGACTATTTGAGATTTTCGTTATGTAAATATCGAGTATGTCAGGTCTTTTTCTGGGTGAATTGGGCCAGTACGTAGGAGAAGATGGTGAGAGTATTTTATATTGCTGGAGTGTTATGATGCGGTGTAGGAGGTTGCCACGGGGGTTGTTTGTATGGCATCCCCATTGAATATGCTTAGCATTTATGTCTCCTCCTATTATAAATTTTGATCCGAGATAATTAAAATAGTCGTTAAATTGATTTGATGTTATATTGTGACGTGGTGGACAATAAGTTGCTGATATTGTAATAGGTTGATGATTCAGTGTTAAAGATATGGTACAAGCTTATATATGTGGTGTTTGGTAATTATGTAAAGGGTAGAATTGGAGTGTGGATCTGACAATTATTGCTGCTCCAGCGTGGGCTGTGTTGTCAGGGTGGCAGGTGTGAAAGCATTTATAGCCAGGTAATTTAAGAATGGAAGTGTTGGTGAAGTGGGTTTCAGAAATAAGTGCAACGTCAATTCTTTTGTCTTGTAGTGTGGCTAGTAATTCATTTTTATGTCTATTGAGCCCCAATGTATTATCATACGTTAGTTTTTATTGAGTAAACATGTATATAAGAAAAACATTTAATTAATACAAATAATTTTATAAATTATTTTAATGATTTTAAAGTTTAAATAGGTTTTTTCTATGTTTCATTCTGGAGAAGTCATCAATAATGTTTTCATAATCTAATGATGACGTTAAGTCACTCTCTATAGTTGATATAACCAAGAAATTTAATCTTTCTTGTAACATAGTTGATCGTAAATAATTCTTCATTCTTTTTAAAACTGAAAACGAACGTTCGGCGGTACAGTTAGTGCAGTGAAATACATAAGTGCCAAAATTAGATAAGAAAAAAAAAAGTCGTATCGTACGAAAGCGCCAAAATCGTTGGTACCTGTAAGCCTCGGTTAAATAACAGATATTAATTTGGACTGAAATTCCGGATAATGAAGTTATATGAACTACAAATGCAGCTGAATCATATCATCGACATTTAAAAGAGCAATTTTATGTGGCTCATTGTTCCGTTCATATAGTAATTGATGTATTATTAAAATTACAAAGCGAAACATATTTATTTATGAACTGTCCTCGTATCAATAAATTAAAGATATCTCACGAAGAAATAATTGTTCAACGGAAGAAATACCAGGATGGTGAAATAAATCATACAGAATACGTGAAAAGAGTAGGATTAAAAAATCAACCAATTTATACATTATAATTTATATAATTTTATATTATAATTTATTATCGACATTTTTTTTTATAAAATAGGAACCGATTTCTTAATTTATTATATTTATATTGATTTGCATGTATATTATAATTTATTATCGACATAATAATATTAATATAATATATAACATAATTTTTATGAGATATAGCAATTTTTAAATAACTACCTACTTATATAAATATTAATTTTGACGCTTATATCATATGTTGGGTAAAACAGGTATACAATATTATTTGCGCTTATGTCCTACACATCTTGGCGCAAATGATAGGTCATTTTTGTACCTTTGGCGCTTATGTCATACAGTCAATTAGTGGCTGGTGTAGAGACAAATATTCGAAGGGCAATTTCAATACTTGGATATAGATCTTTCATATCTATTACATTCATAAATTACTTGCAATAGCAAAAACGGTGTAATTTTCTTTTTATTAAAACTTGTAATTTGATGGGAACAAAAATTAAATAGTTCATTTAAAAATTCATTTTTTTCTAAGTCTGATTTTTAAATCATCAAATTTGTTACCAATATTCAACATTTTGCCGCCCTATGCAGCCGCATAGTTCACAGTGCCTCAAATCTGCCCCTGGACCAACTATTGAACATTTATAGGTACTTTTCTACCATGTGTTCCGATTATTCTATATTCATCTCCAATTCTAAATATTTCCCATTTTTCATCAAATTTTTTAGTTGTGTTTTAAGTTGTTCTTGATTTTCCGCCAGCAGGACTACGTCGTCCGCGTTTGTTAAATGTGCGATTTTTGACTTTTTTAGTCTAACACCTTAATCTATTTCTATATTTCTTATTACTTTCTCCAACTATTAAATAAAATAGAGACAAGGCATCAAACGATGGGCTAGAATAAAAATAACTGGGATAAAATTATAAAAATGAAAATGTGTATTATTGAATATCGGTGTATGATATAATTTGTAAATATGTACCTACCACTATATACTAACAGCTAACCAGCCGTCGCCGACATAACCACACCACGACCACAAATAATATAATAATGTATGATCTACCTAGACCTTACCTACTGACCACTATAAAAATGGATTCCGACGAAGAAGCTCTGTTGTTAACACTTGTTATGCAGAAGACGTATCAATAATATATGTTTGATATAATTTTATGATAACTATTTATATATATAAACTGATAATATCATGCTGGTGACGAGTGGTTTGAAAGTGGCTGGCGTGTCGATCGTGTGTGTTGTAATCAACCACCGACGGACCACGATTTTGTGGGTGATACCGGCGACACGATGCGATTGCCGTCCGAAAGTGGTCCCCCTGTTTTGTAGTTGCTGTGTGGTTGTAAAGTTGCCCGTGTGTGTTGAGCCCTAATTTATTTGATGTAACCACCGATTACAGGATATTACCCGATGCCATGCACATGTGATATTATGTAACTTTACATTTTCTTTATAAAATTTTACTATAGGGAGAGGAAATAGGTTTCTAAAATTAATTATTTAAGAATTCTGAGTTTATGATTGTGGCTTAAGAAGAATTCGAAAAATGTGTTACACAAATATTAAAAAGTCAGAAAAATTGAATATTGTGTTAGAATACAATTTCACTTTTTATGAGTAAAAACAATATATAACGGCCAGTTGAAAGAAAACCTGTTGTTAGTGGTATACAAAATATTTTATTTCTTAAATATATTTTTAGAGGGAAAAATATATGCATAAAGTAAATTAGAAAAAAAAAGGATTAAAAATTTAATTCACTAGCCAGATTAATTTTGCATAATTTTCTCGGGGCTTCTACATCGATTAAATATAAAGTTACAATGAAATTTTTATCTGATCGGAACTTTATGTAGTACTTTAATGATTATAATTTATGCAAGAATAAAAAAATTAAAGTGTATTCTAAAAATATTTCTTTATTATTGGTTTAAAGATATTTATCAGAGAATATAAAGATTAATTAATTTCGTCTCAATTATTTTATACTTTCCTCTTCCATTGTGTTTATTGTTGTAAAATAATTCCACACTTTAACTTATCAAAAATAAATTTGAACACTAAGCTCTATGAGTATATTAAAGGCAAACAAAAAAAATTATAATTAAATTATAGGATGGTAACAGTATTTACAAACAGTTCATATCTTTAGCTCATTAAATTAATAAATATCCATAATAGTATAGAATACTATCTTGTATACTAATATTTATATTTTTTATAGTACCTAAAAAAAAAAAAAAAAATAACACGTGCTTAATTAATCATTCGATATTGTATCAATCATATTTCATAACGAAATTATTCTTTTATATCATTTAAAATAAATCATGAACTTAAGAGAAATACTATTATCGAAAATTATTTCTGTCAATAATGTATTTTATACTTTATAGGTGCATTTATTTTACACGTGATTAAAAAATAAAAAAGTAGATTTCTTATAATTTACATCTGTACATAGTTTCAATAATATACGTTTAATTAATATTTGATATCAATAATTTAGTTGCTGCTGTTGCTCCCACTTGTATACCAATACAAATTCAAACAATAAAATGTTGTATATAATAATATGCAAAACAAGAATGTGTAATGCGTGTATGCAGGAATACTACGATTCTTGTTTTTGTACTGAATTGCCATGTGCGGTGTGCCAGTAGTCGCTTAGTAATCGGCATTACCTTGTATCTACTTAGTATTAACTGGATGCTCTTCGGGAGAGATTGTGCGAATAATTTAGTTTTTTTTTTTTTACGTTACTTTGTAAAAGTAAAACAAAAATATTGTTAATTTGATCATGTATCACGTATACATTCTTCAGTGGTAAGTTTTCATTAAGTATTCATAAAAATTTAATTTAACTCTGAGTTTAATATTTTATAAATATTTCTTTCAAGGTAACTCTTTCAAATTCTAAGTACTTAATATTATTTATTTTTCTGTACACATATTTTAATCCACCTAAATTAACGTAATGAACATTTTCCAAGCAGTAGATATATGGTTTATTATAAAATGTATATTATATAATGCATATTTACCGTGTTTGCCTTATTAAATAAAAACAATTTAATATAGACATTTTCAAAAGTGTATCAATAATTCAGAAGATTCAATATTGAATATTATAATCGAGAAATATATTTTAGAAAAAGATTTAATAGGTTTATATAATTATTTAAAAAAAAATATGTACTTAATAATACTATATTCAAAACTAATTTTTAATTTTCATCGTCTGTTAATGTATACATGGTTGAGAAACATATTGAGGGTCAAGGTCAATTTGTATCAGCTGTTTATTGGTTATTTTTCCTACTGCTTGTTTCTTTATAAATTAAACTACAAATTTTTTTGAATTAAATTTTTTGTAGAGTAATGATACATTTAGTTGTTTTTTAAATAATCTACTAACAACTACTATTAACAGTTTACAAAATTATGCTGATGTATTTCAACATTATTTTTTAAATACTATATATTTCTATTGTATATATTAGGAACAACAGTGGCGGAGCTACATATAGATAAAGGTGTGATTTCTCTCGGGCCTCGGCATAAGAGGGGCCTCAAACAATTTAACTTAGAAAATTATGAACATTAAAATTTAAAAAAATTAACTAAAAATCTCATAAAAGTTTATTTTTAGTTTTTAGCTTTCCATTTATTTTTGTAAGTAAACCATTGCATACTTAATTATGGAAGTTTAGAATAATATTAATCTACCATGATCAATTAGCTATTAGATCTTAATGTAATATGAAGATAGGTAGGTATTTATGCATTTATTCATTTTAAATAAAATATTCTAGAAAAAAAATGAGTTATAACTATACTAATGCAGAATAATAATTTTATCACGTAAATAAATTATCGGTTGTAACTTGTATTCTGCTGACATTTAATTCGGCAGAATTAACCAATAAAATCGAATGTTTTAGAACATTATTTGCTTTTGAGCTCGAAACATTATCTAATGTTTTTGATATAACTAAATTGTTAGTCATTGAAAATAATAATCTTATGAAAAGTTTCCTGAAATTACTAAAGGCATTTTATTAATTTTTCACTTAGCCAGTAACTGTAGTCAGTGCTGAGAAATCGTTTTCAAAGCTCAATAAAAAGCTACCTCAGAAACACTATGTCTCACCAAACACGTCTAAGTGGTTTGGCCATGATATATATTGAAAACGAATGTGCAAAAAAATCAAAAATGTCGGCATTGATCAATACTTTTGCATAAAACCAAAGCCGAAAATAAATATTCACAACTTAATTTCAATATTTACCTACTTATAAATATATTATTAATAATAATATATAATATAATATAAATATAAATATATGTATTAAAGAATAAAGATGTTACGTGAAAAAAACAAAAGTCTTAGTTTTTTTTTTAAATTCTGTCTTAGAAATTTGCGACGAAAATTGTTTACACAGGCCTCCAAGAATCTAGTTCTGCCACTGAGGAACAATTACTATACTTAGGAACTTATACTAGGAACTATTACAAATACTCTTTTATAAAGTCATCATAAATAGAAATCTAACTTATAACTACTATAACTAATTTTAAAAGTCACTTTTTATGTGAAATATAGATATTGATTTCAACCACTTTTTGATAAAATTATAATTTTTTTATATATTTAATAATATTAAAAATAAGTGTGTAAATTATAAATTTTTTTCTTTTTAGATTTTTAAAGGCTATTGAGGCCCATTATCACAGTACAGACCTGCTTCTATTTCTCTCTATTCTGTTCTACTGTTTCTCCATCTCGTATTCTAATTTCCTCTAGATTTTTTTTTCTTTTTATCAATCCATCTTTGCATAGACCTGCCTAGTGGTCTTTTCCCACGGAGCTTAATTATAATACCGCTTTTATTAGACTTTTTGACCTCCATATGTGATCAGCCTATGCGATTCTTCTATATTGTAATACCTGTTGCTATGTATGGTTCTCTATATAATATTTTGCAATTCTATATTGCCTCTTATTTCATATTGTTGCATGATATTATTTAATTGCTGTCCAAATGTTCTTCTTAATATTCTTCTTTCAAAGATTACTGTTTTTTCTTCGTTTTCTTTGATTATTGGCCATGTTTTACACGCATATAAAATAACTGATTTAATAACTATTTTGTAAAGCGTAATTTTCGATTTAAGGACACTTGTTAATCCGTAATAGTATTTATTCGCTGCAGCTGTTCTTATTTAAATGTCTTCATGATTATTATTTTTGATGTTTACTATAAGACAGTATTTAAAACTACTTGGAATGTACTCTATTAAATTTATAAAAATAAAAGTATTATCTATAAAATTATTTACAATTGTTAAAGATATTTATAAAAATCTTTGGATCGTTTAAATTATAAAGTCTAATAGAATGATATATTATAGAATGTATATGTATATATAGTAAATTAATTAATAATAATAGACAAATATATTAAATTTCTTTCACTAAATATCTCCTAATCTGTAATGTATATTATATAATAAAAAAATAAAATAAATCAGAAATTAGTAAATGGTTAACATTTGTAAATTAAGATTGAAATAAATAAATGCATTATTAATTTTATTTATTAATTTTTAATTCGAAACCAGTCACAAATTTTAGATATAATAATATTCCAGGCTATGCATTTATTTATTTATACAATGAAACTTCCTTTAACGGACATCTCCAAATAACGGACGTTTTTTCAGGAAATGTACATTTTCACTACTTTTCTAAAAAAAATAAATATATATAATATAATAAAATATTATTTTACTATAATTTAATTAAATTTTAAATATGAACTGTAATAAATGTTATGTGTCAAATTTACGTCGATGTAGCATAACATTTTCAAATGATTTTTAAAACTTATTTTCATTTTTCAGTTTTTTAATTTAATAGGTGTTGTTAATTAATAATCTCTTATTGTGGTGTAAGTTTATATTTTGTAATTTATTTAATAATTACAAACACGTTTTGCTACAATGTTTCGAACGTGAATGAGAATCATTGATAACAATTTAATTTTTATTATTTATTATAATTGATTGCAAGGACGATTTCCTAATTATTAATTCATTTCTTAACATGATATACACATATATAATTTATACAATGAAATGCAAATTATAGATGTTATATGTAATATATAATTATAGATTAAATATATTATATGGTAATATTTATAATCAAAATACTTAGTATAATATTTATTCTACTACTGTTTTTGGAAAATTATCAAAGTTAGATTCGAATGGTTCAATGATAATATTTCTCTAATATTTATTTAACAGTAACTATAAACAAAAGCAAGTAGTAAATTACCAACAACCAATGTAAAATTGATATATGTAAGTTACAAATAAACGAAGTAGAAAACTGTAACTCTATACTTAAGTTAAAAGTTATAAAATAATAAATTATAATTTGTAATATTTAATTAATACATATAAACAACATACTAAAGTACTAACTACTAATTTTTAAGTAAAATATATACATATTACCTACCAAAAACTTGTTATGCAGATGTGTTAATACATTAAAAAAATATTATTGAAATAAATAAATAATATTTGTAAATAATTGCCGTTTGTAACATTAACTGCTTTATGGACATTGTTCAATTAATGGATATTGAATTAGAGTTTAATGTTCACTGTTTACTAATTGTTGGGCTGTAATATATGATATGATAAAAAACAATAATAATAAAAAAAATGTAAAACCAATGCACTATCTATAATTTATAATACAGTAGTCACTCGATAATTCAAAATTCAGAGACTGAGCTAAAAATTCGATTTATAGAGGTTTTCGATTTACCGAGTGTTCGAATAATAGAAGAAAAAAAAATTCATTCGAATTAAAGAGAGGTGAAAAATGATATGTATATATTACATTTATTAATTGAAATTTATTTATTATACATATTATGTATTATATTTTACATTTATTTATTATACATATTATGTATTATATTTTACATTTTAAAGAAATCTGTTCTTTTTTTTGTGTTAAATTGTTGGTCACAATCTAGTCCATAACGTTATCTAACTTACTGATAGCATTGAAAATTGTATCGCATTTCAGAATACTCGAAAAATTTTCGCAATCCTGACATAAAAATGGTAAAATGATATGATTTAAAGTCTAGATTAGGTAGGTAAGGTACGATAAAATGTATAAGCTACGACAATATTTAATTACCGTCGTTATTAATATCATGTCAGTACGTCAAATAGATGTACATATGAATATAATTTATACATATGAACATACATATAACCACGTTTAAGCAAATACGAATTATAGAGGTTCTGGAAAAAAAAATTCGAATTGTAGAGTGAGTCCCACTAACAGACATTTCGAATTATCGAGGGGACTAGAATACGTGTATTTTCTTCTAACTATAGAGGTTTTCTCAAGGGACTAAGCGTTTAGTTTGATTTATGGAGTTTTTCGAATTATTGAGTTAATACTATAATTACAATTTTTATAACAGCAAATTGCTGTTTTTATTAAATATGTATTATATATTTTATACATACCTAAGTAGATATTATTAATATTATATAAATTATAATTATCTTGTGAATTATGATTCAATTTAAAGGTAATCAATACATATTTCATTCAACTAAAATATGTAATATATGTTTTTATTTTTAAATATTTTCATTTATAAACAATCAAAACTATTTGCTGAAAGTTATTACAAGTATATCTAAATCTATTACTTTCTATTTATTTAATTTTGTACAATTTTATTACGATAGTTAATATTAATTCAATTAAAATGCACTTGAATTACTAAAGAAAATTAATTTTCATGTAACTTTAAATAATATGATAATAATGAGTAATGATATTATAGTAAGATAATAATAAGTTATATAATGAAAGTGAGAAGGTAATATTAATTAGGTATATAATTGGTCAAGATAAATTAATTTAAAGAAAACATAAGATATTAAAAATGTTTATTTTATTTATTTATTTATTTATTTTTTTTTTTGAGAGGATTAAAATAGAAGATAAATTAACAATTATTGAACTATTTAATAATTTGCTTTTTAGGTAAAGGTATAGAATAAAAAGACGAGAGTAGACTTTTTAAAAAAGTTGATAATAGTTGTAGTAATGGCAGTGCCGTATATTATGGGTGAGAGGGGTTTCCGGGTCTCGAATCCCCGAAGAAAACGAAGGTATAAAAGTCAAATATTTTCACTACGAGGGTACAGAGAACATTAATTAATTTTTATTAATTTATATCATCTGATTGTAAATAACTATTCGTTTATATTTATAATAATTATAAAATAATACAATTATTAATTCATAGCTTATTTGTATATTTTTTATAATATTATAAAATTCTACTATTTTTAAAAAAAAAATTAACCCTCCTCCTCCTCTACCACAAACAATTTGAAAATACGTCACTAAGTAATGGTTTAATAATAGCTTTAAAATACTCGAGAAATTTAAAAATCGAGTTTTCATGCGTAGCTGAAGATGTTATAATAGCAGTGGAGTTAGCACTGATATTGGTATATGATAGTTGTTTATGGTTTGAGCTAGAAATGACATAACTTGTAAGCGGTATGGTAAAATTGGAAGTAGAATGATGATGGAGTTTATTTTACATTTATTGTAGTTTACCATAAGCTTTTTAAACTCTTGATATCCTTTATAAGAAGCTGTGTGTGGTCCTGCGAATAGGGCATGCTTGGCGGGTTCTAACGGTGATTTGGTGCATTACAAAGTATAATGTTTATCTCTACATTTGGTTCATTGCGAGGACTGGTAGCAAATATTACTTGTGTGAAAGTAAATTTGACAATCTTGTCTTTATGGAGAGGTGAGTTTTTTCTTTGGCAACTCTATATTAATTTTGTTGTATAGAAGCAAATCTGATTTAATTTTGTTTTCGGCTACTTTTAAATCGATACAAAATATAGGTAATGGACATTTTGTAGACACGATGTATTTAAGTGACCCATATCTGTTAAACTGGCTTGTATATCTTCAACAGTAGTGGATGGGTGGAGGGTGCCTGATAAATATAGTGTATGGTTTCCACCGTTTAGGCAACTATATGTTGTGAAATTCGATTTGCTCATTATCGATTGGGTACTTATAAACTAAATTATAATTAGTTATACCATCGGTGTGAATAATCAGGTGTTTTAGAGTATTTTTAAAATATATATACCTACCCGATGGATTGACAAGATAAAGTAATGCTTTTTAGAGAGTGAAAAATTCGTAACCTTTACTTAGATAAAAAAATAGTTCAATAGAAAATTTACTTTGAGAGAATTTCACGCAGATAGGCTGAGTGTTTTGAGATGGTATTGTGCCTATTCCACCTATGGTGCCGGTGGAGGGCTAAATACTTCCTGATAAAATGCAGTTTCCTCGGAGAGAGACGTATAGCGATTTGGTGTGACAAACACTTTGCTTTTTTTTGTCATTGATTTTCGTAGGCAAAGATGATAATGATAAAGATTAATTACCTTTAAAAATATACAGTGATATGCTTAGATTTACAATAATTTAATTATCCTCATAGTGAAATACAAAGTATGATAGCGGATGGCGTAGTCAATGTTAAACAAAATAGTCAATGTTAAACAGTCGCTGATAACTGGACATTTATGTTATGAGCCCTTTTTGTGTTCTTTTTTTGACACACCTGATAAATAGTCCTTTTTTTAAGATGATATTATAGGTGGCTCACGAAGACCTGAAATTCTCTTGGAATCATTATTTTATTGATTATTTACATTTTATATTTTCTATACATGTTATATATCTATGTATTTAATTAGTCTAAACTGTATAGCGATATTTTGAACAAAAATGAAAATTCCTTTTTTAAAATTAGTATAATTGAGCTTTTGCCTATAGATAAATATAAATTTAATTATGTACATAAGTATGTGACAGAAAATTACTCCATATAATTTATAAATTTTACAAAAGTATGTATTTTATTTATTTTTTTATACTAATAGTATATCCTCTTCACTATTTTGACTATTAAGAACTATTCTTCTTAGAAGTAAATATAATTTATAATTACAGTACTTTGCTAATTATATTCAGATCAGTGCCGTAGCAACGAAATACCGCACCCGGAATAAAACTTCAAAGTGTGCTTTTGTGTCATTTTTAATTTAAAAATATTATAACTATTAGATATTATTTCCAACACTTACTTCAATTAATATAAAGAACGATGAAGTTTTTGTAGATAAAATATACAAAGTAGACTATTATAATTTTTAACATAAAATGCAATTTTTTAATTTTTACGAGACTTCTCCCCTACTTGCTATGACCCTACTACCGATAAACTTAATTGTATAATCATAATGTATTTGTCATATGTAATATGTATGGTATATAAAAATAATAATAATAATAATGTTTTTTTTTTAAGATTTTTAAATTAAAATCAAGATTATTATCAATCTACATGGAGTCAAATGAAAAAAGCAGATTAACTTGTCAAAAATATAATAATTACTCATGTAAAACACACCAATTGCACAAAAAAAGTATAAGTCGAGTAGTAAGTATACTAAATAAAAAAATAAAACTATTGTTTACTGAATTTAATAATTCGAATATATTTTTCCATATCATATTAATATATATAGGTATATATATATATATATATATATATATATATATATATATATATATATATATATTATTTTAGATTCTAAGTGAAATGAAAAAACTATTAGTATGACCATGATCTATATTTTTTAAAATGTTTAAATGTTTTGTGTCTCTCTCGTGTGTACATAATTTCAACCAGAAGGATAGCTCTGATCATCACAATTATGGGTATTTTCTGATAGAAAATACTATCTAGTTGGTACTATGGGAACTATTATCTTCCTAAAGAAATGTAATCTGATCTATCCGATCTCCATCACTCAGAATTTTTTTTTTTCGAGAATAATGGTTCATTGATTTTAAAGTTTAAAAGAGCAATATAGCAATATTACTCAGTTATCTTTGTGTCTCTCTTGGTTGTAGAATTTCACTGAACCTAAAAGTATCCCTCGTTTTTTATTTATACTTATATACGCCTGAGTGGCCAAATACTATTATTTATATTAGCTTGTTTTAATTTTATTAACTCATTAACGCCCAATTAGGAAAAGAGTAGACACAATAATACCATAACAAAAAATGGAAAAAAAACAATGAATATAGAATAAAGAAAATAAAGAATATTAATTAAGTAATAATTAGAATATTAAAATTAAATAGTACCTACATGTCAGTTATTTATTCAAAACCAAGAAACAAAGAACAAAGTTTAGGTAAATTTATTATTCAAATTAAAGTTAAAAGTAACACTGTTGCATTTTCATAACATATGATTTAATAGCTGATTAAAATCACATGATTGTTAGAGGAAAAGTACATAAAAAGTAGTTGTGGAACAAATATTTAAAGTGGAAATATGCCTGCTTAGTATTTCAAGACAACTTATTTTGTTGTTCATTAATTTATGAATAAATAGTTTTATATTTATTAGTAATTAGTTATTGCTCATCTCAAATGGCATCAGTGAATTTATAATAAACTATTTTGTTTTAGTTATGGCTAGCGTTTGTAGTAACCATGCCATGCCTAGCTCCGGGTATGAGTTTTGGATATTCTGGCATCGTCTTAGATCAGTTGCGATTGTCAGTAGATGAACAGTCTTGGTTTGGTATTTATTAAAACATTCTAAACAGTATTATATAAAAATATTTTCGTTTATACTTAAATTTTTGTCACATTAAAAAGGAATTATTTTATAAAACTTTAACAATTATTTAATAAAAATAAATACTTTAACTAATGATTATAAAATAAATATTATAGTTTTCATTTTATAGAAATACGTGTTTATCAATTTAATTCTTAATCATTAATTCAAATTAATTCTTTTAATAAAAAATGTACAGTAGATGCCCTCTCGTTCACCCTCGGCTAGTCCGTCACTCCGATTGATCCGACTATAGAATTATAGATATGAATATGGATTTTCCAATTTATAGTATATGGCTAGAATATCTAAAAAATTAACTGTCTGTTTACTATTTATCCATATTTTATTTATTTTATTATTTAATTATTTATTTTATTTAATATATGTATGTAAATAAAAATAATATTTAAAGTAATTTAATAAATAAATTTGGTACCATTTTGTCTTTAAATGTTTCTTTATATTTTAATAATCCCACCTTTTTCGCATTCCGACTACAGCCCCAGTCACGAAAGTGACGGATAGAGGGGTTCTGCTGTACCTACACTGCATATATGTATAGAATAAATTAATTTTTAATATCATTTCCTGGAAATTGTTACTTTGAAAATTAACTATACTATGAATTTATGAAATACATTTTAAAATGTTTATTTTATGTTTATTTTTTATTTTATTTTAAAATGGTTAGGATTAGGGTACCATATAACTCACAAATTGAATAGATAGTTTCTTATATATTTTTCATTTTTTTTAAATGAATAATTTGATTGAATTATGCAAATAACATAAAAATATTTTTACTTCACTATTTAATATTTAAAACAGAAATTTAGAATTCATTAATTTTGGGAACATTATTTGAATACTTTTAAAATGATTCGTTTACGCATACACACATATACGGGTAAATATAAAAACTCATTAAATACTTATTATAGATAAAAATAACATTTGAAAAAAAAATAAGAATTTTAAAATATATTTCATAAATTCATAGTATAGTTAATTTTCAAAGTAGCAATTTCCAGGAGGTTTTTATTAATTGTTTTTATTCATTTATATAAATAAGATAAATATTGGCTACTTCAAAATACTTTTATAATATTTTTTTAACTATAAATTCGTAAACTTAATTAAACTTAATTACAAAAATCTATACTTATATATTTATTAATAAATGGGAATGATGCCTAATAGTATAATTTAACACAAACTAAATATTATTAAACATATGCATACTATTCAAACTCAAGTTTTCTTTATAGATTTTATGATTTCTAAATTATAACCGGATAAATACAAAACTATAAAAATATGAGAATTTTATTATAAATACAATTTCAATTATATCCAAAATTTAATTAATTATCAATAGTAATTTTTAATTTGTGACATTAAATAATTACATTTTATTATAATTTTTTTAAACGATTATATTACATGAATAAGATTTAAAATGTTTTAAAATATATTATAATAATAAATTATTTATTTGTTTACAGCTAGTTTACCATCTATCATGATGCCCATTGGTTGCTTATTTAGTGGTCCACTCATTGACAAATTAGGACGAAAGACTGCACTAATGGTAACAACCATTCCATCTTGCTTAGGATGGCTATTGTTAGCTCAGCAACCTGTTAGTTTATGTGTACTTTATATAGGACAGTTATTAGTAGGCATGTCAGTGGGATTGTCTACTACCCCGGCCACTGTTTATTCTGCTGAATGTATCACAGTAAACTTTACTGGATTACGAGGGTCCTTCACAATTATGACTTCAATTATGCTTAACTTTGGGATGTTCCTTACATATTTATTAGGATCACTAGTTCCAGCATATATCGTAGCATATACAGCATCGTTTGTATCTTTTGCAGCACTCATTTTTATTAGAGCATTAATACCCGAGAGCCCCCCTTGGTTATTCGAACAAGGTCGGCATGGTGATGCAGAGTTTTCCCAAAATGTTCTCCGCATTACTCAGCCTATTTTACAAACATCAAGAGTAAAATCACTGGAAGAAATTCCAGTACGTCAGTCCAAAATTTTAGATAGACTTTTTGAACCAGATGTTTACAAACCGATGGTTATAATGACAATATTCCTGTTCTTTCAGCAATTTAGCGGATCGTTTGTACTTACATCGTATATGATACAACTTTTACGCAGCTTCAATGTGACAATAAACAATTACTTGATAACATTATTAGCAGGATTTACAAATCTTAGTGCAATGATGATTTTGTCAATATTATTAACAAAATCAGGTTTTAAACAGCTATCATTTGTGTCATGTACTGGATATTCTTTATCTATGATATCATTGGCTATTTTTTTGTACTTGGGCATTGATAATGAATTGATTACCAATATAGTTGTTATCACGTGCATATTATTGAATATGGCTATGAATGGATTGGGCTTAAGGCCAATACCGTATGCTATGCTGGGTGAAGTTTTTCCAACAGATGTAGCCGGAGTAGCTGGTTCAATTGTTGCTTGCTTATCATCCATATTTAATTTTATTGCTATTAAAATGTATCCTTATATGCGAATATGGTTAGGACCCGGAGTATTTATGATATACGGGATATTAGCGTTTTTCACGATCATATTTGTACTTAAAATTGTACCAGACACTAGAGGAAAAACTATAAAACAAATTGGTGATGACTTTTTAAGAACAGATTCTTCAACAGAAACTATTTAAATATGTAATTTAAATTTTTAAGGATCTCATTTTAAATATCTTTATATTATTTATGATTTAAAATTTGTATATATTATTCATTAATGAATTACTAATAAAAAATTATAACTTTTTAATAAATATAAAATTTGTATTTTTTTTTTTAGTTGTTTTGAAAAATATTAAAATTAAAACAATAAAAATGTTTTTAATAAACCATACTTATACAAATATGTACATATGTGTTATATGGTGATATAGCGGTAGCTCATTAATATTACACCTCTTACTACTATAATAGTACATATATGTATACATATAGTATATACCATTTATTCTAATTATCCAGCTTTGCTCGTATACAGTTTTTAAAAAAAAATGATACCATATCTATTTAATATTCGTGAGTGTGCCGAAAGGGGGGGGGTTACCCCCCCCCCCCCCCCCCACAAAAAAAAAATTTAACAAATATTTAAAATTTAATAAAGTTTAAGTTAAATTTCATGAACGTCCACCGAGGTTATTATGTTATTTAAACGATTGCGGTCGTGAATTAGATTACTGATTCCGGGTAATAAGCAATTATTATGAGTATTATTATTTATTACTGCTCGGTTAATATGAATCTTTTATACAACCAGTGGCGGCAAGTACTGTAGTGCATAAGAGCACGTGAACTATCAAAAAAAAATGTATAATAAAATTATTAGATTCCTATAGTAAATTAAATTATGTTATAATTATTATTAGAGCTCCGATGTTAATGACCAAAATTTCATAAAAATATACATTATAAAATGTCATAATATGCAATTATATGCCATAAAATGTATTAAATATATCTATTTTTTCAACAAATATATGCAAAAAAATAGTTAATATTAATTCAAAAAATGTATATACTCTTTAGAATGTGTATTTAAAATTCCTGTACTACAATAACACAACTAATAAATACAAAAAAAATATTAATTAGTTTTCGATCTATTCAAGTAAAATTTTACATAGGTTAAGCATTTTAAGTATTAGGATTAAACTGTACAATAATAATTTTGCTGATATTTTCAAACTTGAAGGAACTTTGACGATCCGACAAGAAGTTTTATTAGACTGAAAATAACATGATTAACGGTAATGATTGATAATTTATAATAATATAGACAATTTTTAATATTATACAAAATAATTTATAAAATATATGTTACTTAACCTAAGTGATGATGACAGTTGAATAACAAATCAAACTATTTTGTAGATGATATAATAGATGACGTAACGTCTCATAAACCAATATTTCAATTACCTGTAATGGGATTTATCATCTTGATTGAGAAACCATAGCCATCTTCACCTTGTCAAAATATAATAGGATATTGCAGTACATCATATGAGCGATATGTTTCCTTAATACGTTGTAATTGATTATTTCGATGATGTAAAACAATATCATATGACTCCAAATTTTTCCAACTACAACAATGGCTACTTCATCGATAGTATGTGCATTAAAACGTCGTGCATGTTGGCCCACAGGAGTTTTATCTGATCTAATAACAATTTTGTGATCATCAGATGGCATCATATCCATCCGTTGCACTTTTAAATAATATAATCAATTGATTGTGTTCATAAAATAAGTTTTGTAATTGTTCAACTATTGACCTATTCACCGAATCGCTATATCCACAACTTTGTAGAGAATTGTCCATAAAATAAATTTACAAAAACTTGTAGAAGCTATCCAGGGACGTATTTTAGGGGGGAGGAAGAGAGCGATCGCCCGCCCTAAATCCTTATTTAAGGAATTGATTATATGAATATGTGAGGTACACATTAAAATTTTTTTTAAATTACAATCAAATTACGCGTTGCTGTGAATACTGAATTGAGTTTTTATCGAGTCCATACTTAGTAAAAAATCGAATAAAACACAACCGTAATTTTCAAAACATAGACAGGTGTTAAAAAAGAACTACACAAAAGTCGATTCTAAGTGGATCCAACATAAGTTTATAAAAAACCCACAATTATTAAGGATTCACCCAATTTAAATATTACCAAAATTTGTCTTGTGAATTTTGAGCCTGAATTAAAAACAAATTTGAGCCCTCCCCTAGAATATATAGATACGTACCTGTTGCTATCTGGCACTGGTAACAAAGAACCTGTTCTGTGATATATTTGACCTTGTATCTGTAAAATGAAAATGTATAGTATATGGGCTATAATAGTTATGATTAATAAACATACAACTGTAAATACTATTACAAACCTTAAGTTGGCATGCCATTTTCCCGAATAACTTTTGTTGCTCCAAATGAAGTCATTTGAAAACAGTCATTGTATTGTTGAATATTTTTTATAAAGTGTATGGAATCTGTTCCTATTCCTAAAACCAATGAGTACAATGGCTCTGGAGGTAAAAGCAATGGTATCAATTTCACCTTTCCATTTGCGCAACACAATCCATTGGTTTCATTTTTGTATTTGAAAGCCTTACAATATTGGCAAATTGAGTTCATAGGTCCAATAGCAACACAGTTATAGGTACTTTAATCAATTAACATATCGTAACAGAAAGCAGCTCGATTCAAACTTGAACCATTATTAGTCAAATGTTGCACTTCACGAGTCTGTCTTACCCGAATTTTTTCACGTTCCTGGGCAGTATGATTAGATTGATGATTGATTTGTTGCATTTTGGATTCTTCTCCTTAAATTTGTCCGATGCCTTTTAGGAAGCATATTTAGTAAGTCACAAACACAAAACTTTTTTTAAATTTGTGGCTTTTAGATTTACTAATATTATAGATGCACAGCAAAAAGACATTTACATTTTGTCCTAACCCTAATCTAACCTAACCTAACCTAACCTAACCGATCGGCAACGCTTTCAGCCTGATAACGAAGCCGACAGTCACGTCCATACTAGTAGCAGCTTCGATATTGCCGATCGACATAGTAAGAACGCAACACAACACGTACAACGCAAAACGTAACTCCAGGCCGCAGAACAGCAGCCTGCAACCCGACCAATCACCGCTCCGAGGGTTTCGAATAATGATTTTGGAGTAAATCCTATAACAGCCAGTCAGATTCGTGGCTCGAAGTACGGCCGGCCGGGATTTTACGCAGACCACGTGCAATGGCGTGGCCCCACGCCATCCATAGCGCCGAGCCCGCTATCCGGGGGAACATATTTAATATATTCCGTCCCTTTCTTCTATTGTGGGAGAATATTTTGATTATCGCAGTTCACGACCCCGCTCTGATCCGATCTAATGGCCCAACAAGGAACGCGTCCAAGACGACTAGCTGCCCAGCTTCCAATCAGCTAAGGTAAGAAACAGCAGGCATAACCGTCTCGTATGAACACTGTTGTGTCCCTAGCTAGTTCCATGTTGTAAGATTATTTAAAATGTTTTTTGTAAATTTACTTATAATATCTCTGTACCAGTGTACTCTATGATGATTAGAAAATAAAGTGAATACCATTAAAGTAAATACCTAATTGGTTTTAGACTGTTAGCGGTTTTTTATTTATAATTTAAGAAATTTTAAATACATTTCACACACTATCCTAGAGTAATTTATTTTTTTACCATTCTTGAATCAATATAGGATACTTAATTATCAGATTATATTTTTAAATTAGCCTCTTCTTCCCATCAATTTTTTATAGGTCTTTGAGTACTCATCCTTTACAATGTCGCTTGTTAAAAAATAACTCAACTATGGAAAAATTAATTCGATAACTTGATTTTTTTTTAACTACTTTGTATATACAGTTTATACACAAACTGTAAGCAAAACTAAAGCTTAATAATAATAATAATATAAGAGGTGCTCGAATAATACTGTGCTCACCAACACGTAAGGAATACACATCCGGATACATTCCTTAGTTTATTTATCACAACAGTCGATAATTAATTAAAAAACTCATAAAAAACCTAAAAATAATATATTCTTAGTAATTTTTTTTAAAGGTGGTAATTTTATGAAATTCTCGATAGTTTTCTTAGTAATTGTAAAAACTGACAAAAAGTAAAACCTTTTTGTAATAACTCAAAAATATAATAACCGAAGAAACTTAAAATGATAACTCTATCTTTTTATCACCGTTCCTAATATATATATATATATGAGTAGGTTAAAGCCATAATGGTGCAAGTCTAAATTCCATAAAAATTGAGTTATGTGTTATAGGCGTATCTGTACAAGTCAATTTATTGAATGACAAAGTGAAGTAATATTGTTGTGTTATCTGGTGATAGATGGTACTAGCTTAGGGTGACCAGACGTCTCGTTTAAAACATAATTTTCCATTTTTTAATCATCACGTGCCGTTGTTCCGACAAACTTTGAATGGGACCTTTTACCCTGTTTTTAGAAGGTTGTCCCATTTAAATCCCGTTATTTCCATATTAGATAGCTGATAGTGTATAATTTTCTTAATTCTAGTTTTAAAAAAAAATGTAAGAGTAATTATATGTAACAATACATTGTTTAATACTTTAATTGTAATATTAAAAATTAAATTTTTCTAATTGTTTAAAAAATTAAAATAGTTTTGAAATTCTACATTATTAATTAATAACAATACATAATTGAAAGAAAATATTATTTAATAATAATTAGAAGAAAATATTTTACTATTTAGGTTATTTTACTAAAATATGGTAAAGTAAAAAGAAAATAATTGTTTATGATATGACAAAAATTTGGACTTTAACTCTCGAGATTTGTATGCATATGGGTGAATGTATATGGATGAGAGTTTTTTTTTCGAGGGGGAAGTAACAGTTGTCCCGTTTTTTTTATTTTCTTAATATAGTCACCCTAATTATAACGTACTTTGCCATTCATTAAATTGAATTTTACAAATACGCCTACTATACATAATTAAATTTTTACGGAATTTTGACTTACACCACTATGGCTTCAACCCACTCATATATATACAGTGAAACCTCCCATAATGGACACCTCTAAATAATGAATATTTTTTGGGAAACGAGGATATTTTCACCAACGGCTAAAATATGGGTTAGGCCAGTCAGGTCATGGCCTGAACTAACACTAACTAAAAATATGTATATATTATATATTTCAATAATTATTTAGGCATTATAAATAATATATTTATACATGTAAACGTATACATGTGTACGTTTCATATAATACTATAATATAATATAGTATAACGGTACAATTGGTACAAATATGGATTAAAGTAGAACATAAAAAGTTTATTCTATATATTCGTATAATCGGTTTTATTAATTATTGTTTAATTTAGACATTTGACGTTTGTTTTTATAATTATATTATAGGAAATAATAGTTAATTTTACGTAATAATACTTTTTATATTTTTCATTTGTCCTGACCTAATAAAAGTGTTTAGTTTCGCTTATGATTTTCACTACTTTTCAATAGGAAAACCTTTAAATACGGACACTTATAAGGAATTTTAACTTTTGATTTTAATCATTTCTATCGAAAATTTAGAAAAATAATTATGGAATGTATAGATAAAATTCTACACTCGTAAATTGTATTTTATTAATATTGCCCATTATATACCTATTGTTATACTATTTTACCTTATCTTATCCGTCCAATCATGAACATTTTATGACGTTGACGTTGGAAGTCTACAGGAAGCATTGGTAGCAGTGAAGGATATACGTAAATACATTTCATCTATCGAAATACAAAAATGTACTTCATTATTCTCCAGCACAGTGGAATTAGAGAATGCATCAACCTACGAAATGACTTCCTGCCAAAATACAAAACAATCTAAAGCAACTGACTTTTTTAATATATGTTAGTTTTAATTTTTAAATTATCAATTATTTTATCTTTTTACCAGTGCATTTTTAAAAATACAAAAAAAATGAATACAAAAATAAATTAAATTTATTATGTTTATTTATAAATAATTTGATATAAATAAATACATTTTTTAATTAAACTTTCAATTTTGTATTTTTCTAATACTATATTTCTCCCTCTAAATATCGAAAAAATTTCAGCGACCAAGGGTGTCCGATATTTAGAAGTTTCACTGTATATATATCTCACTGAAAAAAATTGATCGTAATTTCAAAAAAAAAAAAATTTATCAATATTTAATTGAATATTAAATAATAAGAAAATTCGAGAAAAATTAAGATAATCCGCAACGTTTTTGTAATTAAAAAATGTTTATAACTTCCAATTTTAATACTTAAAGCGTGAAAATTGGATACAAGGTTTTTTACAAGATTTTATTTGTAGTCAATAAAAATATGGTTACAGAAAGTCGTAACTATTTTAATAAGCTGAAGAATAATATAACACCTAGTGCAGGGTCTATTCTAAGAATTTTTGTCAACGCATTAGATTCCCTCTACCCCTCTATTTCCATCACGATATCTTAAATCGTGGTTTCGATGGGACTCTACAACAACCATTGTCATTAAAAATTGAATAATAGATGGCGCTCGACTAACGTTTTGATCAATTAACTGACAATATTATCTTATCGACAAACGATAGTAGAGGCAGATAGTTATCACTGCCCACTGACAAAACATATGTCCATATTTTCGTCTTGCAAATTTCTAAAGCAACAATTTAATTTAGTATGAGTCTTTGTCTATATGTGGTCATTTTTAAACATGACATATGTTAGAATACAATTTTGCAATTAAAAATTTACACCACTCGTTGTACATACTAAATACACTATAAATTATTGACTAACAATTGTTTTGGATTTTTAGATCACCATAAACATCCAATTCTAAAGATGCCATCATACATTTAAATTTTTAATTCCTATTTAAAATGTAAATAATTTGAAACGACTACTAAATACTATTTTATGTGATTACCATTTAATATAACTGAAGTCTTGATATTGATGTATGTTTACTAAAAGTATTAGGCCATCATCAGTTTTACACAAGGTTTGTGATACGCGTTTTATGATTTTACGTAATAATAAAAATTTATATAGGTATCTTATTTATTCTCAAATGTTATTTCATAGTAAAAGTTATGGCTAAGTGGTTAGATTCAGGTGATCTACTTCCTTATGATGACCAGGTTGGAGGTCATAAATTTACAAAAGAAAAACCATTATTAGGTTTGTATTATATACAAAAATCTTTATTAATTTTATGTATTATGTATTTCATTGTTTTAATGCAGGTTTGTTGAAACACAAAGAAGGTTATATACTAAAATCAGTTGAAGGTGGTACCAAAGGAAAGAATGAAGTAAGATTTTATGAAGAATTAAAGAATAATGAAACCCTAATAAACCTTAGAGAACTTGTTCCATCATATTTTGGAACTGTTACTGTGAAAATTAACTCAAAAGGTACGTATTAATATTTTAATAAAGTTTACTTATGATTCTGAAGACATGTTCAAAATATATACTATATTTTAGTTTTTAAAATACTTTGTAAGATTGTAATTAAGATATGAATAACATGTTAATTTAATTTTTCTTTAGACATGACATTCATAGTTTTAGATGATATTACCAGTGGCATGAAAAAACCATGCGTTATGGATGTAAAAATTGGCTTACAAACATGGGAGCCAGGATGTTCAGAAAAAAAGAAAAAGGATGAGAATGTAATAAAATTACTGAATTTATATTTTTTATTAATAATAGTAAAAATATTATATTATTTAAAGATAAATTTCAAACTTTTCTTTTTAAAAATCTAGCTTATGTTGTACTATACAAGAATGATGAATGAATTTAACTAATAAAGCTCGATTCACACTAGCAGTCTCGGTTCGGTCCGGTCACGGTCAAGAATTATGATGTGCAGTTCTCACTACCAGTCACAATTAGTCGTTTTATCTGCACGTTGCCACAAAGTATACAAAAGTGTTCAAAAAACAATCAAAACAATGGATATGACCGAGATAAGCGCGGCGGTTGACTATTTACACTAGGCGGTCTCAATCAAAAAGCTCATGACCGCGGCAGTCTGGATTGTGCATCGACCGGTTGAGACTTGACCGGACCTGACCGTGATCAATAGTGTGTATGATGCCATTGGATTACGTACTATCGATGTTGACTTGACCATGACCGCACCGAACCGCGACCACTAGTGTGAATCGAGCTTAAGGTCTTAAAGCAAAATATTTAATTTTTATAAATTATACACAAAATAAATACAACTGAAGTAATTTATTATTAATTAAATTTAAAATAATATTATATAACCTTGAAGAAATTATTAATTACTGTTAGAAATAAACAAATTTGGTTGAACTATAGTATTATTTTATTAAAACCTATTTTGCTATAACTTACCACTTTAATTAGTCACTATCCACTATTGATTGACTTTGTAAAAATGAAGTATAGTACTTTGAAATTTCTCTAGTATATTTTTACAATGAAATTTATTTCATTGTAATTAAATATACAAGAATATATTATTTGTATTTCTGTAAAAAGCATTAAAAAAAAAAAATTATTTCAGGCTAAATATAAAGAATGTAAAGAAGAATGGAGTTTCTGTATACCAGGTTTTCAAGTATACGATTTATTAAATTCTACTTTGGGGCATCCACGAAAATATGATAAAGAATTTGGCAAAAACTTAGATCCAGGAAAAGTTATTTCTGGTAAAATATTTAAATTCAAATACATTTTTTTTTTTTTTTTTTTTATTATTCTACTTACAATTTAATGTTTCAGTGTTCAAAACGTTCTTAAACTTTAACAGTGAGTATTTAGGTCTAGAAAAATTAGTTCAAAGTTTTACCGCCCAGTTGGATCATATAAGACGATACTTCCAAACTCAAAAACATTACCACTTTTATTCAAGTTCAGTGTTGTTGGCATATGATGCAGAAACATTAACCAACAATGAAGACACTTACCCTTTGTTAAGAGTATCATTAATAGATTTTGCACATGTAACACCAGCTAATGGTCAAATAGATCTTAACTATTTACAAGGTATTACTAATTTATGGACATTATTCCGGACACAATTGCTGCAAAACAATTGATTTGAATCTCTTCAGGTTGTTGGTGCCTATTAATTCTTAAATTTTAATATTTTTAGTTAAAATTTTTAGCATAACTTCTTGAATTTCACATTTATTTTTTATCAAGTTTTTTTAATAACCAAATTTATAAATAGATTCTCTGTTTATTTTAAAACAAAAAATCATTTCATTATCTTTAACTAATACAATAGTAATTTTATTTTAATAATTCAATTTAATAGTGTATTTATTTAATGTTAAATTTCTATTATTATTGATAAAGTTAAATTAGAAATTTAAAAGTTTTGTACCTTTATCTGTATATAATTTATTTTTAGAATGTTTAATTAATTTTGATAGAACTATTTTATAGTTATATCTTCTATCATAAATTAATTATTGATTTGTAATGGTTAGTATCGTTGTATGTAATTATGAATTAATGTAAAATTAATTTAATATTAAATCTGTGATCTTATAGCCTATTTAAACATTTTTAATAATAATAAAGGTTATCATAAAAAGTCAAAACCAATATTTTCTTGTAAATATTATATTGTGAATAACATTTTTCAAATTTTTCTGTTATTTATAATTATATTTTATATAGTTATGTGTTCAAGATTATTATTATTATTATTTTGTTTTAATTTTGAATTATATTTGAACTATCAATAAAAAAATATTATATAAAAAAGTTCATATACTTTGCAGTCTAACAATTTCATGCAGCATATCTTAGAATATTATATTCATATTGTTAAATAATAAACAATTCTACAACACCATTTTATATTCAGTTAAGTTGTTAAATGTAAAAGATTCATAGTTGTATGTTAATCTAGCACTATAAATTATAATTCATAGAACCAACAAAATATTAATACTGCCTGAATCATTCAGATTAAAATGTGTAAAAATGTAAAATAATACATAAGAGATTCTATCACTATTAATAAATAATTGTTATTTATAATTAACAATCTACAACTAAATAAAATTAAATCAAATAAATTATTTTAAAAATAAATGCTCGAAAATATTAAAAAATTATTATACCAAAAAAATAATTTTATTATATTAATTTTGAAAATAATAAATTTATAAATTGAACATGCATATAAAATATATGTATATTTTGCTTACATAATAATATGAATTTAGTGTATAAAAGTTTTACAAAAAGAATTACAACACAGACCAATATTTGTTATCTCCATTCTCACTCACTGTCAAACACTGCAAACTCCCATGCTAATTTTATACTAATAACTGTGTTTTATTAAAATCTTAAAATTAAAAATTTGAGAAAAATAACTATTTACGTTCTAAGTAAATGTTTATAAATCCATAAGCAAAATTTATAATATTCAAAAAAGTTTTAAACATAATTTTTTCTGCTATTTCATAAAAATTGTATAGAAAAATAAATAGAATTCATCAAAATTATTAATAATACTATCTATTGTCAACAACAATTTTAAAGCAAAATGTTATATAAAGTATTTTTACCATAATGGATATAAGTTTAGGACATTTTAAAAAGGTTGAAATATTAATTTACAGTTCTTCTTTAAATTGGAATCATCTTTGATTTGAAACCCATTTTACATATTTTAAATAATTTTACTTTTGGAAATGTAACATTTAGTATAAAAAAATATAAGTGAAAACTACTAGATGGTGCTTTTGAAATTATAATTAAATAAATTTAATTAAGTGAGTAAATATGTTTTAATAAAACATAATAATACATAATAAAAAAAAATCTTAATATTATATAATCTAATGTTATAATTTATTTTAGTTATTCTTTAATAATTAATAAATAAATATAATTTTCAATGATTGGCTACTAATTTAAAATATATTTGCAAATAATTAGTTAATATAGATTACAGAAACATCATTAATTGATAAGAGCAGAATAACAATAATTTATTTTAAATAGAAAAAATGGTTGAACAAAATACGCAAATTAATAATTATCGTGTCATGAAATATTCATTTGGTTCTTTATAATAAAACAAAAGAATAATTTAAGTTGATAATTAAATATTTTCTACATTAATATAATGTAGACATGACTAGTTATAAAAGTCTGATAACAAATTATAATTATAGTATATTCTATATAAAATAGTTATAATAATAAACTCAAATATGGAGTTATGATTAATTCCAAGTTTATATATTAAAATAAATCATAATTGAAATAATAAAATATTAATTTTGTACTTACTTCATAGATATAATTTATAATTAATATTTATAACCAATAAGCACATGAAAATGAATAGATATCACATAGTATAAATATCAGAAAATTAAAATATCAAAAATCATTTATTATACGATATATATTATATATATATATATATATATATGCATATATATTTTTTTTGATTTGTAAATTCACAAATATTAAATTAATTATGATCATTAAACTTAAATAGGTAGTATAAATAATAAACTACCCTCACAAAAAAATTCCAAAACCTATATTATATTATGAAAGTATTACAGACAATTTCAAATTGTTGACAACTAAACAATAAAATACTACTCGTTGTATTGTAATGTACAATCCAAGAATTCACATAAAACATAAATATTAAAATGTATGCACTTTTTAAAATTTAAATTTTACTCATTTCAAAATTATTACAATTGCAAAATACTAAAAAAGTATGTATATATATATATAAATAAACCTTAAATTATTAAATATTTGTTGTTGGGATTAATTATTCAGTTGTATGCAACATTTTCAAACTTAATTTGATGGTTTTATTATTATTGAAGTATTAATCCAATCTATAAAACAAAATTATTTATTAGAATAAAATATTTAAAAATTATAATAATATTTTGATTAGCAAGTTATTACCTTATTACTATTTATTTCTGGACATTTCCAATTGTATAAATAATATTGCAAGTTTCCATCTCCAACTCCAAATTTAAGTGGCTCTAAAAATTCTTTATTATCCATTAGATCTAGTGCATTAAACACATCAAAACTAGCCTAAAGAGAAAAAATATATTAAAAAAATGATCATTTGTATTGCGCATTAACTTACATTTCTAGCAGAAATAAGTGCATCTTGCATTAGATCAACCCATGGAGTTTTAGTGGAAACATTATAGAAAGAGTATGCAGCCTTTAATGTACGATAAGTTGGATGATGCATAATAGTAGAAGGAAGTGTATAAAAACTAACTAAATCTGAAAAAATAATAATTCAGACATTAAGTATACCGTAAATATGTATAAAAATGTAATTTACCAGTAATTTTATTATTGTTTACAACAACATAGGCATCGATAATGCCTTCCTGAGGCAAGAACCAATGTTTAAACTCTTCATCAGAGAACATAGGAGATAAATCAAAAGATTGCATATACTGAAAATTTGTAATAATTAAAATTGTGCAATTGTGAAATTTTATGTTAAATGTTATCTTACATTAGAAAGTAGTTTTCGAGCTTGAGGCAAATCCTTTTCAGTAAGTTTTCGAAATCCAGGAGTACGTGTTGATTCAGGAAGTTTATGTAATTTTAATGTTCGTTGCATTGTCATATTGCGACTTAAATGTGAAAACTTTACATCTATTAACTTTTTCGGGTTTAATGAACGATGCCAATATCTAAATTAAGAAATTATTTTAATCATAAGTTATTATTTTGTCAAGATGGTTGCAATTAAAATATGTCTATATAGAAGATTCAACTCAGACATTTTTATATTTAATTATAAAATTATTAATTTATAATTAAATTATAAAATTGTGACAATACATTATTTTTACTATTAACAATAATTTTTTCAGATTTAAAATAACCATTTTTACTATATTTTTAAATACAAAATATTGTTAAAAATGTAAAAATTGTTGAGTAATAAATAAATGTTCCTTAAATAATATACTCAATATTATATATCACATTGATTTTAACCCTACAATTTGTCAATAGAGATGGTTTATCATATTTTAATTGTATTCAAATAATTATGAACTGTTTTATTTAATTAATCTTATTACAAATCCTTAGGTTTAAAATTAATTTAAAACTATTTTATTTTATTAAAAAGTTAACATTATGAAAGTTAATAGATGTAATACATGAAACACATTTTTAATTTATAAAAAGTATGGAATTCAAATAAATAAGTCTTTTAACTTGTATTTTACATTTAAAATTAATAACATACGATTATTTTTTGAAATTTAGAATATTTATAATTTTTTACTTCACTGAACAACCATAATATTATTACCTGCAAGTTCCAATAGGTTTTGGTAAAACTATTCCAGCTGTATATACAGCTTGAAAAATACCTATTTGATTCACTCTTCTTGTAATTTCACGAATTAAAACTGGAGCTACTCTTTTACTACGCAATTTTTTATGAACGCAAAGGAAATTAATTTCAACCATTTTTTGAGATCTAAAATTTTAAATTCATTATATATTTAAAAACACAATTGATTAAAAAAAAAAAATTACTTTTCATAGACTTTAAGCAAAGCTGGGATGGCACTTATAAAACCAACTAATTTATTACTTTTAATAACTCTGACTCCAACATGCCATTCTTTTAACCACCCAGGAGGTTGAAGAGCCCTATAAATTATTATTATCACAATATAAAAAAATTGATTCACATAAATAATTATAAAAATTGACTTAGTACCATTTCAAAAAATGAGGTTGATAATCAAATCGAAACATGCTATCTTCATCTTCAACATAGTTTTCATTTAATAATGTATACAATTCTTTTAACACAAAAGGATCTTCTAAACTAAGAGTATCCCATTGAAAACCATCAGGCAAAGTAAATGGTTCTTTTCTTATCTGATCTATAGTTTTATCTTCTTCAATTGGACCATCATTAATAATCGTTTCACCTTTAAATGTTATTAAAAAAAAAAAAAAATTATATTTCTAAAGAAACTACTATATAATACAGCACATACACTTTAAATAAAGAATGAAGTAAGTTTACTAAAAATATTTAATTACTTAAATAACTATTAATAGTTAAATGTTTTCATCAAACAAATTTTAAATAACTAATACATACTCATTTTAGGTACTGGTTGAGTATACCAAAAACGATACTGTTTATGCAAAGCTTCCTCAGGAGTTTTAGCTGCCCTTTGTTGAAGCGAGAATACTTCCATAGCTTTTTGAATATCCTGTAAAATGTTAATTATGAACAAATTAATTGAAAAACTTAAAAAAATTAATCTCTTTTCTGTAACATATAGTCATGAACAGTGGTGTAGATACGATTTTTTTCTGGAGGGGAGGTTTTTAAGAGTAAGTTTTTAAGTGTTCTTAGTACATTTTAAAACGAGGTCATATGTAATAATATTATATTTAAAATGGTATTATTATTATGTCCCGTATTTAATGAAAATTATTTGGTTATTTAATTTTTAATATATACCTAATCATAGTAAAATCAAAATATTTTTCTATAATATATAAATATTAATAAATAATAATCAAATATCATTAAAAGAAATCTGTAGGGGAGGTGGAAACCCCTCACACCCCCTCCATAACTACGCCACTGGTCATAAATATAAACACAAGTAATAATAATAATTAAAATATAAAATGTTGCATTTTTTATATTATATATAATAAGTAAAATGTATCAGCTAAAACTAAAATACAAATTTGTAATTTTATGTAGTTCTTGCTATTACAACTTTATTACTTTTTATATTTATTAAAAAACAAATTATTTTAAACTTACAGCTTCAATTCACATAATAAATTAAATACACTGACTTGGATAGAAATAGTAGATGGCAGTGTTGTTTCCTCAACGGTTCCATTCGTAGTGCTTTGTTCTGCCTTAACATTGTTTTTACGATTTCTATTTCGTTTTCTTAAAAATTAATTTATAGTTTAAAACGTAGTACGACTTTACTTCACATTCAACAATTCTTACTTTTTTGTCTTTACTGCTTCAATGTTTGGTTGTTCTTCACTAGAAATTTTCGAAGTTTCACTCATGTTGATTTTTGTTTGAATTATCTAATTAAAATTAAACTTTGATTAGAATTTTTATGAGTAAATAACTAATCAATAAACTTTAAAAAAATTTGGAAAAAACGAATTCAAATTCTGAGAGAAGTGTAATATAATTCAATAACCTAAAGATTGACAAAAAAAAAAATGTTATTTATCGGCTTTCGGCATTCGGCAATGAAAGTTGTAACAAATAGATGATTTTTTTTATAATAATCACAGGTCACGAGGTTGCATAACCTGGTTTGTAGAATATTATATTATTTGATAAATAATCGATATAATATACTGATATATAAAATCGAATCGATATCAAAATAATTTGTATCAACTCGATTGTTCAATATTTTAAATTACTGTATTAAATTCAGTTATAGTAATGATTGTACAATTTTTTTTCTATGAATAAACCTAGTTAATACTTAATTTCAAGATTAATGATATGTCTTTAATCGTTCTTTATATTAAATATGTTATCAATGTAAATCTGTAAAATTCGATTTTTATCTATTTTTTATATTCAGTCAAAATTTCATTATTGAATTATTAATTATCATAGTATTTATTAATGTAAATTATGATAAATACCAAGTTCCTAATACATTTTGGGTTCGTATGTGGGTCTCATACGACGACATCAACAATTGTAGGAATGATAAATTCTATACAATAAAGGGAATTATAAGCCAACTATGAACTTATACTATAAAATATAATATACATAGTTTACATTATACCCATAGGGTGAGTATATTACTTTATGATCACAGACTAAGGTTATACAATCAAAGAATAATAAAACCATGTCTATATCTATTTTAAGCTGATACACTATGATTATCAATTGTACGCCAGCAACAATGAAATAAATAAAAAATGTATGATTTGCGTCTTTACTTGTAGATGTTAATTATATTTTGACCATACAATATTTGGTATTTGTCCAATATATTAGAGAATAATAATATGAAATGAATATTTATTTAGTAAAACTAATATAATTCTCAAAATAAATTAAACTCTTTATTTTATTTTATTTAAATGTCCTTGGAATTTTTAAGTCTAATAATGTAACATTTTGGAGGAATCAATTTTTTTTAGTATTTGTAAAATAATGTATGAAAACTATTACCATTAATTGCTTAAAAATTAAATCATGGACAAAATGAGAATTTTTAGAAACAAAAGTAATTGGAGTAAAAATCCTTTATATATAAACAAAATTGATACACAAACCATGGAGTATTTAATCCTATTAAAATAAAAAAATTATAAAACTAAAAAGAAATGAATAAAAAAAATGTCTATATTATAATATAGATAAACTTATTATATTACAAAGTACTTTAATTTAACATACAATGTTGGAACCAAGCAAGTTAAATTTAACATTTTTTTCTATATTAATTTATATGAAGTATACAGCCAATTTAAAAGCAAATGATAGTGTATACTATAGTTTTCAATGCCAACAACAAATAATTTAATCATTCATATAACAAAATATTACATTTCATAACATTATTTGATTAATTTATAACAAATCAAAATGAAAAAAATGTTTAGAAATGCATTCATTATAAAAAAAAAAAATTTGTTTCATCTGGTATTAACAAGATGAATAACTGTTAGGTTATTAAACCCAAAAAGGATAGTCAAATAAGAATTAAGTCTGAAGGGGAAATACAAGAAATTATTAGCGTTAAAAATAAAAGAATATGAAATCTTAATATTAATTCAGTCACCAGAAAAGGTAAAAATATGTAATGAAGTATGTTAGAGTTTAAATTGAGAAAATCTTTTGAATTTAGCGAGGATGAAGATTTGACTGTTTTTCCAAAGTTTAAATTTAATAAACCGGAAATACACAATCAGCCTGAATAGAAATGAATTCATTATTAAAAAAAACTTTACTACATTTGGTATCAACAAGAAGAATAACTGTAAAGTTATTACACCAGAAATGGATAATCAAACAAAAATTAAGAGGACTTCACACCTGCATGTGTTGTCTCCGTCTGACAATAGTAGAACATAGCGAATTTGCGTTCAGTGATTCAAATGTAGTGAAGTTAGCTTTAATATTAGAGTAAACTGACCTGTAATCAAATTTTAAGGGAATAACATTATCTGTTTTGTTAGTAGGTTTTTTCCAATATTTTATTTTTTAAGCGAGTTATGTTTTTTTTAAATTTTATATTTTTCATACTCATAACATTTAAAAATCAAAATATCTGAAAAACCAACCAATAAAACACAGATGTTTTTCCCTTAAAGTTCAATTATAGGTTAGTTTACTCTAATATTAAAGCTAACTTCACTACATTTGAATCACTGAACACAAATTTGCTGTTGTAATATGTCAGACAGAGACAACACATGCGGGTGTGACGTCCTCTTAAGTCTGAAGGGGAAATACAAGAAATGATTAGCGTCAAAATAAAAGAATATGAAGAATTAATATCAATTCAGTCACCTAAAAAGGAAATATATGTAATGAATAGACTATTTTTCCAAAATTTAAATTGAATGAATCGGAAATAGATAATCAGCTTGATTAGCATATTATCATATTTTTACCCTTTCAGGTGACTGAATTGATATTAATTCTTTATATTCTTTTATTTTGACGCTAATCATTTCTAGTGTTTCCCCTTTAAACATAATTTTTATTTGATTATCCATTTCTGGTGTAATAACTTTACAGTTATTCGTTTTGTTAATACCAGACAAAGTAAAGTTTAAAATAAAAAAATTTTTAAAAAAAATTAGTCACTTTATTATCAACATTAACAAACTGTATATTAAACAATTACAATCATTATTTTCTACATTGTGTTGTTTTTTCTTTTCTTTTCTTTATATGTTTTTTTACTTTTACCTTCCTCTTTTCTGCTTTTTCTTCTTTTACTTGTTTCTTTCGTAACTAAAATGTTTTACGTAAAAATTATATTTATGTGAATAGAATATGTAACTACAATTGAAAATATAAATATTTTAAAATCTTACTCGTTTGCTTTCAGTATCTTCATTTTTTGGTCTAGCTGAGCTAGAAAATTTACTTTTTTCACCTAAATCAACACTATTTTCTTCTGATATAGTACTAGAACTATCGGAATCATCATTTTCCAATATTGCTGGGGTATTTTGAGGTCCAGATAAATCTTCTTTAAGACCAACAATTTTTTGGTAGATCAAATCATCACTGATTTGACCAGATTTGACTAAACTGATATCTCTTTCAAAATCAACAACCTAATTTCATTTAAAAATTGTCTATTTATATGCAAATTATTTCTCTAAATATTTACATACCTCATTAAGATTTTTGGGAATGTAAGCATTTTTAAATACTTCTTGTTCCACTATTTCTTCGTTTGTTAATGGATCTAAATTAACCATATTGGTTTGTAGTCGATCAAGACAAATTTCCATATTATCTATTGTAATAGTTGGATCAGTAAGAAAGTCAAATAAAGCTTTAATTGATAAAGTAGCAACATCATGATGGTGAAAAAATTCTAAAGTTCATAAAAATTTTTTAAAATATATATTCAAATAAATTTTTTTTTTATAAAATAAATACTTTACCTGAAATGTTTGTACAATCTTTACGAAGAAATTCTAAAGCAAATGGATGTTCATGTTCAACAGCTTGTGATACATCAATCATAACTATTTCTCCATTATTGTACCTATTAATTGTATGTTTGAAATGTAGAAAATGTTTGGTATATAATTTTTAAGGTAAAGAATTTACTTACAACAAGTTAAATTCACTAAGATCAGCATGTACAAGTTTACAAATGTTATACAATTTCCACATGATTATTAAGCAATCTCTATAGAGTTGACATGCTTTAGATGTGGTTAAATGAGCATCCTGTTAAATAAAATAAAATATAAAAACATAAGTGAGTATTTGATAATAATACATCAAAATTACTTTTAATTTTGGAGCAGGCCAACCATCTTTACCTATGAAAGACATCATTAGAACATGCGATCTTAACAAAATTGGTTGAGGTACTGGTAGTCCAGCTGAGTACATACGAGTAAGATTACGCATTTCTTTTTCAGCCCATAAACGAACCATTTTCCTTGGATTATGTCTACAGTAACCATGTCTAAATCTATACTAACCAATATAAACTGAATTAATTATATAAATAAAATTCTAAAGACTTGAACAATTTAAAAAAATTAACATAAACAAAAATAAAAAATTGAAAATAAATACAATAATTTTAAATTATAGATAAATAAAATATTTCCAAACTAAAAATATAATATATAATTTTTAATTTAACGGAATTATTTATTAAAAGAGATTAGCTAGTGATAGAAGAGTGGAGAACTAGTGTTTGATTATGAAACCAACCATAGGGTTGAACACAAGAAGGGAAAGGAATTATTTATTATATATTGATTTTTCTTCTTCTTCACCTTTCTCCCAACTATTTGGGGTTGGCCACCTTTGTTCAAAACTTTCTTTCATCTTGATTTTCTACATCCCCTAATTATTATTTACTTATTGTTTAAAATAAATAAAACATTTATACTCAAAAAATATTTGTGTAAGTTAAATTTTCAATTAAATAAAATACTTAATACATAAAATATTACAATGTAGAATTTCTACCAAAATATTAATAGAAACTAAACTTTATTCAACATATTTAAATGAGAATTTTAAATTGAACTGTAACTGTAAAATACAAAAGTATTATGATTTGTACCTGAATTCACCAGTAACGTAACGATCACGATCCTTGAAAACCAATATTGATGTTTTAAATACTTTAATAGCATAATGATTGCTTCCATCACCAGAAGTTGAATGATACACATTTGCTTCCTTTCCTGTAGATATACAACCATCAATTTGTCCTATCATTCCTCTATTAAGCAATTTAAAAAGTATCATTCGAGTTCTTGGATCCATTACTTGTTCTGCTGTAGCTCTATCACACTTGTCTTTATTTCTAAATCTATAATATTAAATTTTACATACATAAATACAATACCTAATTCTTTCAATATTTTATTTAACCTCATAGCATCTGCTTTTTTATAGCTTTCCATTAATTTATTAGATGCTTCATGAGTAAGTACAGGACCTTCATATGGATCTGTGTTAACTTTATCAAGATATTTTTTAAATAGATTTTCAGATGGTTGGTAATCACTGATTTTTATATTTTTGTTTTGTTGGTTAGGAGTAGTAAATTGGATTTGAGCTTTAATTTCATTAGCACCTTTTCTACTGTAACATCCTATTTTAACAATTATTTAAACTTAATTTGTCAATGGAATTTTTAAAAATTATTATCAATTACCAGTATCAAATTGTCCCTCATCTTCACTGCTATTGTCAGAATAATCACTATCATATGTATTTTGATCATTAACTAACTTACGATCATAATTGTTAAAAGTCATTTCCCCAAACAATTTTGATATATCTTCATTTTTATTGATGACTAATCTGGAATTAAATATTTTTTTTTATTATACAATCAACAAGAATAAAACACATATTGTTTTTTTTTTAATTGATTTTTAGTAATATATTACATCTTATTTCAAATAAATATATTTATCTATAGTCAATTTTCACGTTAATTTAAGTATACACTAAGCAACAAACAAGTAAATGGCATTATAAAGTTAATTATAGCATTTAAAATTAACTCACGGGGAATGGTCATCTTCTGCATCACTAAATTGATGCATTTTAACAAAATTTCTAAATTTGTAAATAATTATAGTTAGATTTTATATGAAACACTTAGAAACCAAACAAATATTAACATAAAGAAATTAAGATTCAAAATATTCATAAAAAATGTAGATTCACGTGTTGTGAATTAATTATCAAAATTAACTTTTATCAATAAATATATTTTGTCAATTTTGTTTCATAATTTTTTCTTCCATGATAATACTTATACCCCAGTCTTTGTTTTAAATTCAGATTATTAACCGAGAATTGGTTTGTGCTTACAACAGACAATTCGCAAATAACTTTTTTTTTCAAAGTTATGATAATAGGTACTATAAAAATAAAAATTAATTTATAATTAAATTATGTTATTATGGACTTGAAAGATCCAGGACTACGTTTTACATTTTTACATATTATAGTAGGTGTTTAAAGTAATTTATATTTTTTTATTTATAGTTTCGCATTTAACCTGGAATTTTAATACTGATTTGTAATAAAAAACCAATAGAGTGGGTATTCTACTGACAACAACCAATTTTGAAATAAATGTAACTTCGTTTTGCTGAACGAAAAAAATGGGCTTAGTTACAATTTAACATAAATTATGATTATATATTTTAGTATATTTTACGATCATTTACGCATTTTTAAACCATTGCCTATGGATAGACGGGTACCTTAGAACCCTATAAAATTGGGCTTGGTGGAAATTCATCTTTCCTCTTCTCATCAGTCCTCAGTATATGCTAAAAATTCATAATGTAAACCAGGGGTCGGCAACCCGCGGTCCGCAGGCTGCATGTGGCCCGCGAAGCAATTTTTTATGGCCCGCCCAAAGGTGGTTAATTTTTGTGTTTTATTTTTGTTCAATACATTTTTCATACAATTTTCAATACTATTAAATTCTTTTTTCTTTATAAATTATATTGTTATTATTATCTAATCGGAGTCGAAGATAATGATTGCTGCACTACCAGTCATAGGATAAATTAAATATACTTATATATATATATATATATATTTAAAAATTAAAATTTGAAATATATTTAATATATATGCATCTAATATATTTAATCTATGGTCATAGTTACTTTGTGTTGGTAGCAATTAGTATAACATCGTGATTACGCCCGAACGTGTGACTGTTTGCGTTTGTAATAGTTTCATTTTACAAGTAAATCCAAACATTAAGGCAACTAAAAAAAGAAAAAATTGTGGTGATTTTTAATAATTCTTGGGTTGATTTACATTTTTTCGTCGAAAACAAAGGTAAGCCATTATGTTTAATTAGTCAAAAATTAAATTTTTTCTTAAAAGCAATTTTTTCCAGTAACATTCGTATTTTGTACCTTCATATTTCTACATGTAAAATAATTAAATATAATAGCAATACAATTTTATTAGTATATATCATATGTAAAAATTTTTTTTTAATGTGGCCCTTGATAAACATTTAAAAAAAAATTATTTGAAAAAAGCCCGCGTGGTTCAAAAGGTTGCCGACCCCTGATGTAAACATTTTGATAGGGTTGCCATACGTCCAGGAAAACCTGGATTGTCACCGTTTTTGGACTTCGCGTCCCGGTGTCTCGAAAAATGTTTTCGGGACGTCCATATGTCCCCGCTTGGATGTTTAGAGGAAATTGTAGTATTGTTTAATTTTTCATTTCGACCATTTTATCCCAAAATACATTTTTAATCGTAATCGATTAACAAAATATAATAAAAATACAATTTGTAATTTAGGTACACATATAAGTATATAATATATTTTATTTCACAAAAATATTTTTATTTATTATATTACAGGCCATTAATGATCCTCTTCAGTAGCGTATACATAACTTTTTTTTTGGGGAAGGGATCATTTGCAAGCAGATCATTATTTATTTTTATGTTTCTAACGACATCACACTAAGAACATTATTTTATAACATTTAATAAAAGGCCTAAGGGAAGGGATCTGATCCCTCCTTGAATACTCCACTGGTCCTCTCAATATATTAAAAGTTATATAAAAAATATATTACTCGATAATGTGTTTGTTTTGTCCCGGTTTCACCTTATAAATTTGCGGCAACCCTAGTCTAGATATGGCATGCTTAGGTTGAACAGCTCCTTTCACAATTGTAATATAATAATTTCATAAACATTTATAAGTATTTAATTATAATTACATATATAATTCTTAAATAATGTTCTTATTCTGTAATAATACATTTCAATTTTATATTCTTTATTTTCCATAATGATTTCACTAGGATATGTTTTGAATTATAAATATCTATTCCTAAAACGCATTTTAATAAATATGTAATCGATTCGAACTACGTCATCCAGTTAATCTCGTAGTGTGGGTATAAACTTCTCCATGTATATCTTGAAGGCAATTTCAAAATAACAATTGGTTCATCTCTATAACCGCGTTCGTTTCTAACACCTAGACAATTATCTACGATGAGATTGTCATTTATTCCTTGTCTAATTTTAGCTTTTATGTCTTTTATTATTATTGTTATTTCATGTTTCTTAAATAATTTTAGAATATCTTAAATTGTGCACTAAAAATCTCAACACTATCTATATAGCAAATAGATATTTACTTGAACCAGGTTTTTATACATTAGTCAAATTATTACGGACTATATAATATCCTCATATATTTTTGTAGTTAATCTTCTCTTGTAGATGCAGTTCTAAAATCTAATGCAAGATTCGCTAGACATTATTAGTCGAAATCATAAAACAAATAATGTGAATTCTTTGATATGATTTTATAACCTTAAGGGACCTCACCACCACGTCTTTTTTTAACAAAAATTACTGTTCCTAATTCCAACGCTATGCGTCGACAATTATCACGATTTTCATTCTGAAAAAATATATGGTTTCTACATAATATGTATGAGGGAACGATTGAGCCACATTTTTAATTTTTGTAATTTGAATTGCAATAAATATTGTAGAAAATTCAAAAAAAATACAGAATTTCAAACTTAAATATTTAATTAAATAAATACAATTTTTAAAATGTGCCTCGATCGATTCCTCGTACATGTTGTGGAAAAAAAGAATGTTTTTTTTCAGAATGCAAATCGAGATAATCGTTGCGATGTATTGTTTGAATTAGAATCGTATGTTAAAATGAAAAATAAACATTTTTTCGCGATCACAATATTACGCTCAACATATTTGTGGGATTGTGTACGGAAGCCCTCCGTAGCGCTATCGTGCCGCGTCAAGATAATGAACCTATACACCAGGGGCATATTTAGGAGGGGGTGATATGGGTGTTGGAACACCATCCCATCGATCATATTTTATGGTATTTCGCTAAATTGCAAACTTACTTATGGTATAATTTAAATAAACGTAAGTATATAGGAAATCATTTTCATTAATATAATAATTTATATAAATAACACATGGTATTTATAAATATAATACGTGGGGGGCAAAACCTCCACTTACTATAAGTCTATTAAATTTTAAACACTCCCGTTAAATGAATCCTGGATACGCCACTGCTATACACTGTAATATAATTAGATACGTTCATGTTTATACTTTTAGTAAATTTCTTACCGAATTTCAAACCCATACTTCTATAAAACTAAATGGCATATCTCAAATAACGATTATTTAACATGATTTTTTTACTTTGATTTAAATATATAGAGTGTTTCTGGAATGTATGAGGATACTAGTATACACGTACCCGCTGTGATGGCCCAAAGTAGTTTTATTGAAATTTTTTTCAATCTCTAAAATCTTGGTTTATTAAATTTATTTTTAGGACATTACCTTAAATGTAAAAATAAACACTTTAGTTGTATTTTTGGCTAAATTCTCATTTGAATCGAGACGTCACACTGTTTTTAGCTTGTCGCGTGTTTTTCACGCTCGAGTCGCCAACTAAAAAAAAGTCATGTGACACATCGATTCGTATGAGAACACTTAACGATTAACAGTGATAATAATAGTTTGTTGTCAGTTAACACACATAAGTAATTAAAAAAGCTTTAACATTATAAAAAAATCATAATTAAATACATTTTAATTTTAAAATCAATTTTTATTTAGAAAAGTTGTTCAATGTAACCCCCGTTAACTTATATCCACTTTTCTACACGAAGATGTAATGAACTCCAAAATTTTTCCAATTCATTTGACGAATGATATCAGCTACATTATTAATTCTCATCAAAAGTTCATCTCTAATATTTACTTTTTTGGAATAAACTTGTTCGTTCATAAAACTCCATGTCACATGTGTTAAAATCAGGACTCCGTGGTAGCCATGATATGCCTGGGCTATATTGATCATTGTTTCCAGCTCCTCCACCTATGTTTGTCAGGGAAAAGATAATGTAATTGTTGTTGGACTGCATTTATATGATGAGGAAGTGCACCATCTAACATAAACCACATTGATTCTTGTTCTTCCAATAGTACATTCTCTAATAGTATTAAAATTGGAAATGGAACTTTAGAAAATGAAAATGGTTATATTTCTGTCAATCACACGATTGGTGTGTGATCTAACCTAACATGGGCAATTATACGTGGCATTTTCTCGAACTGGGGACCCGAATCATCTTATGATTTTAATTTCAACAGGAAATATAACAAAAAACATCATATACTCAGAAGTCTTATAAAATTCTTATTTTAATTCTTTTTTTTTCTTTTTTTTTTCATCAACTTCAATCAAATTCTTAAATTATTCAAACATAGATTATTTCTTTTTTATTTGTATTTATTTTTATCATTTATAACGCTAGAAAAATTTCAATCCGTCTTCATTGACCCATTTTTTATATTTACTTGCCGATCACATTAAACAATAATATTGAATAAAAAATTCTACATATCATGGTCCGAAGGCAAAATAAACAACCAATCACGGGTGAAGCTGTGACGGGTCGGCTAGTACTATATATAAAATTGTAAGGGTTTTTAAAAATAATAAATTATTTTT